TCTATTTTATGCTTCGTTTTTCTGCACCACTGGTGCATAATTGCTTAAAAATTATTGATCTATTTTGTTGAACTACTATAATTTTGCACCCAAGGTGCAAAGGTGCCAGGTAATTATATATTACAGGGTGAGCTACTTCTAACGTTACTACGGTTTATTTGGATTTGCCGAATGTGAAATGAAATCTGGATGTGAGGGAATTTCCACAATTTTGTCACTTTTAGTTTGATTGGATTGAATGAAGTGTTATGTAGCACCATCATTTTGCATTTCCTTTCGGATCATCATCCTCCGTTCATGCAGAATTCATGTTCACTTGCAGGGCCAATAATGTGAAATGTTTCAAATTTAAAACAGTCCTTGAAACGTATCGAAGGGGTGGCGCAGTGGGTGGAAATGGAGCAATGGAATGAGAATGTGCTGTCCCACTTTCATACGGCCAGAGTACTAATAAATCTTCATACTCGGCAATTAAAGTGGCTGACACTTTAGCAGCTAGCTGTGCATTTCAATCTGCCCTCAGCAGTCAGCATGCTAACTCAAATTCCAAGTATACATGATTCTCCGTAGGATGCCTCATTAGCAGGACCTTTGTTTGCATTTGCGTCTTAAATTACGCTTACATACTCTTAAAAGGCATTATACATAAAGTGAACGAGTTATGTACTGTGCGGGTGGAGCTTAAACCTACGGCCTCCTGAAGTACCTTGTGCTGAGACTAGGGTTTCTCGTGAGTTTAGCTCCATTCGCACAGCACATAACTAACTCACTTCAAGTATAGAAGTTGTTGGGGGAATACACACTTGAAAAGTTTCGCCCATTTGATATGAATATTATGCAAACTTTCGGTCGAAGAAAGGGAAAAGTTTGTAATATTCTTGGTATATTTAAATGCCCGCATGAGAAATAATTTGCAGATATTTTAAAGGAGAAGTTAGCCTAGATATAGAAGATTAAGTATATACAGTACGTGTATGTATGTACAAAGTTTTAGGTTAATGGATGGCTCCGTGGGGTTTAATTTTTTTTGCAATGTTGCAAAACTTATCCTTAAATAGACCAGATGTTCTGAGGGAGTAACAAACTTGGTTTAAAAAAATTATGCCTATCGTTGTGTGCTCAAGAATTCTTTTTTAGTTCTGCAAGCACTTGGTTGGTACTCTGCACGATGTTTAATAACAAGAGGAGAGAAATCCCGACTGTGATTTCCCATTATGCGCGTCCCTCATTAAACAGATGTCCCAAGTTGGAATAAACGAACCTCCTGAAAGATCTGGTTTAACTTGAAGATTTACATGCACTCAAGATAACGTATGTTGTTCCGATTGCGAAATAATAATTAAAATGCGTCAAATGTCTGAATGCCCTTTGACACACTTTTGTCGCAGTTTCTGCCAGAACATGCTTCCAATGATTTCAGAAACCGAGAAGTGTGCCATTTAATACATTACATATAATCTTGAGTGAATGTGTTATCCTCCCATCAGAAAGTTTGTATGAGGAGTTTTTGTGATTTTGATGTAGATCTTTAATCCTATGCCGATTCTGGCCTCCTTCGTATGGATAAGAATACATAAATAAATAACAAGTGATCTGTATACACTAGTCCTCAAAAGGAGGGATATAACCATACGAAGTTTTCTAAACTGACTGTCCAAATTGAATGAGTAGAGTTAAAGATTGTAATAAACGGCCTAATTCCAAGTGATTCATTTGTAACGCGATCTGCTGAGTAGGTGCAATGACATGCCTCCTATTTCTATGCACGAGCAAGATTATCTTGTAAATATGTATGTACGTCCACCAAGGCATGTAGACCAGCTAAGGTTGATTCTTCTTTTGGATTAGCCATTTATTTCTTGTGACAGGAGAACTTTCGTCGTATATGGACTTATATGTGGTCAAAGTTTTATCTTGATCACGTTCACGTACATATCTCAACAATTACAATATGACTCAGCACATAAATTTCTTAGTGTCAGAATATTTATCACCGCAGATATGTACTAACTTCTAACACAACTGGCTTAGAAGTGAGTGCATGATCTGCTGCTGCTGCTGCTGGCGAGATGGTACAACTTTTTCCTGGCGACCTTTGCAAAGTAGGTGACCATTTCAAGGATCAAACCGAGCAGGAACACGACGCAATGAATCAAAGTGTCACATTCACTCCGCTGCGGGTTACCAGATAGGCAGTCATTTCACCTCCGGAACTATGATCTCATTGTCCAGCAGACTTTTGTAATGTGACTTCCACACGTACTCGTCGTACTTGTTTTTCTCTCTAGAACTTCTACGTACGTAGAAGTATTTGTGACGAAATGTGGAAAGAGAGGAATTGACATTGTATTGTTTCCTTCAAAACACAATGGCCATATTCCAGTCATGTTTTTACTGTATGACCATAAAAGGTGCACACGTCTCCGTGGGAAGAAGACGGATATTTACAAGCAGAAAAATTTCATCCTGTGCACTTTCGTGGCATATCGTCATCGTTATTCTAGGAAACGACAAGTTTTATAAGCCTCGCAATCCACAAGACATCCATTTTACTGATTCCTGTCTGAAACTTTTCCTTCCCTTTCGATGCTATGCACGTAGTCGGTTCAAAGATCTCGCCGTTGTTTTGCTGTGACCGATGAGCACAGCACTTTCCATGCTGGGCACGCATTAACTTGCAAAATTAGATTAAATAGCGAACCTTTAAATAATTAATCTCCTATGGTTAGATGGATTAGAGGTACTAGCAACTATGCATCTAAGCAGTGAAAAAGGATTCCTTGCAGTATTTACAAGGCCAAATGATCCAGTGACCAGCACAGAAATATAAAATGTCATTCCAGGGAAGGATTATTGTCGGACAAAATTGGCATACTCACCTCAAGTTCCCGACCATTTCCTCCATTATTGAGAACGAGTTCGAGAATTACCCAACTCAATTGCTGGATTTGTTCAGCATTGAGCACACAATGCATTGTAGCATTACATGATCAAGTATACGCCGACCGAGAGCATAAAGCAACATAAAGTGAGCATTGCCTTTATTGAGGACGACATCTCATCCGAAACTTCATAAAAGCAAATGTCCCCTTGCACATGATGCGGGACCGGGCCGGATCAGAGTCGACACTCTACTGCCATTATTCTGGACGGGTATTTTGGTCAAGACAAATGGTAATCCGCATCAGGTTGCGTATGAATGCAGGCGTCAGTTCAATTTCTTTCTTTGTTGCACTGGATTATGTTACTACTTGACACGGGCAGTTATTTTAGTCTGCGTCCGTCTCTTTACAACCCACCAGAACGGAAAGTGCATGTGATTTCGAGGAAGCAAACTTCTAATCGGTTTTATGAATGCAATGCAAAAATGTATTTCCTGCCAAAGTTCTCTGGTGTTAGAGATAGTGACACTTTATGACATGTCCTCATATTTCATGTGACTAACTACAGGAAATGAAACGAGGCGTGAATTTCATGAAAAGCCACTTGGCAAAGGTGAGACGGCCCGTAATAATTATCCTTTCTTGTAAAGTCCTCTTCAACTCGACGTTATTCTTTTTGCACAGGACGCCGAAATCTCATTTCCGTTCAAATTAATCTAAACTGTAATCAGCTTAAACTAGCTAATTCCAGACTTGAGCTTGTTTGCTTCGGGTAAACGGGCAGACGCACAGCATTTTACGATCACTTCCTTATCGTCCTTAGTTTCACGCCGTGTTGAGATGTTGAGAAGCCTATGCTTTTCTTTGGTAAACTTTAATTTAATTCGCTTTGAAAGTACGTTCACAGCTTTTCCTCTCTTATACGTAATAAATAGAATTAGGACCTCTATGCACGTACCCGCTTTCGGAGCAAACTTGAACAGGGACGACGGCGGACATTGCATAGAAGTTTTGGGACTTGAAATATCACATCAAAGGTCTTTGAAGGACCATCTCGTTTGATGGCATGGATGGGGAGAGACCAATGTTTCACCCAAATCCCATGACGCCGTCCATCCAAGTTAAACTTAATCCATTAGCAATTTCCTCATTTCTATCCTAAGAATCGCGAGGTAAACAGTTCTTTTGTAAATCGAACCATGGTGGTGAAGAGAGAAGTTGTAGTTTTGTAAGTTGATGCCCCACTAAAGTCGACATTCCTCCCCGGAATTGCCTATTTGCCGACACTCGCAATTTCTTCTCTCGGAGCGAGACACTTTCCTTCGCCTTTCTCTCCTTCATTCCAGATAAACACGACAAGTCCTTGTCTTCTAAACAAATCTATAAGATCATGCTCCACTCATGGCCATTCTGTATAGAAAATGGTCCATTTTATCCGTATGTCATTCATTAATATACGGGTAAATTGAATACTTATGAAAACAATGTTGCGAGTGCGACACTACAATAATTTGCGATGCATTTTCGCGTTTAAAATTACGTAGAGAAAGTTAAAGTCAAATTTAAACTTGAGGCATCTTGCACGTAGATGTTTCTTTATGTAGACAATTTAATCTTTGTTTTGGGAGGCATGTGAATGCGAGATTGTCGTTCGTGTGGTGTCATGTTTCTTTATTGACGTCGCTGGTGTATTGTTGGTTCAATAAACAATGCACCGCATTAATTCGCGAGGGGCTTGTAAGCTGAGACATAACCGTTCTTCATTGTCTGTTTAAAGTTTCATTGCTGTCGAGGGAAATGTACGCAGGGCAAGGAACCTCAATAAGTTTATTTAAATGGGCTAAGATTGAGTGCTGGGAACGATGCTGATATATTTAGATTATATAAACGTAAGGTAGGGAGGCGACCATGCAGTCTGACTTTATTAATACGACGTGCACCGCACCCAGCTCGAGGTGGTGGGGAGGATCAGATCTTTATTGCCGTGCATAACATTTTATGACGCGGATTTCTCCTGGATTAGAAAATGTAGATAAAATTCAGACTTTGCAACTGCATCTGATTGAAACTGATCGTGTTGATGAAACTCTATTTTCTAATGTACAATTTGTTTTGCAGAATGTGGTGGACAATCACGGGCAATTATGGAAATATTCAATGGGACTGGTCCAAAACATATGCTCGAAAACTACAGATACCAACTCTCAACTTGAATGAACAGGTAATTATTATTATAATTTGGTAGTAATTATGTATCCACAATATGACGACATTCAAAAAATAAAATGTCACACAAGCACAATTTACTTATTGTTAGTTTCAATTTAATATTTCCACTATTTGACATTTCCATAAAGAGCGCATTAAGTCGGTGTCCCTGACTTTTCTCCAGCGGAAAAGTTCATAATCATAAACCATACTATGCTCTATTCAAAATAGTCCACTGCTGTGTCGCGCAATATGGAGATTGAAAAGGTAAAGGTTAATTTTACTATTATTAGGCAGCAGCATTTTCCATCCACTTTTTATGAACTCTGAAGTGGGTGGAACTGACAACTCCAATTTGCGATTCGCTAAGGCAAGCGAGCCGCCACTTTGTCAATGTTTCCAGACAGAAGCTCATGAAAGATTGAAGACGCCATAAACATCTCCAGGCTGGTGTGATATGTGGTTCAACTTGGCCACAAATTCGCAATTACATCCTTCTCCCTCTCTGGCTGGAAAAATTGGCAAAAAATGGAGATTACAAACTACAACTCTCTCAGAATAGGTCGGGTTGAGTTTTCGCGTGGGTCGATATTTCCCGTACTTGGAAAGAATTTATATGTTCGTATTACAAGGAACATTACCAAAAGGCAAAAGTCCAAATAGTACGTATTCACTCGTAGTTACTCCATCACTTCGTCGTCCATATACGCAGTGGTACTTTATTATTAGTGACTATGCATGTATCTCCTACGTTTGGCTGACGGACGAGTCCAAACGGGACGTTAAATGTTATTTTCACAATTGAAAACAAGAAATATGGACTTCATCAATCTGTTTTAGTGACTTTTTGCAATTCCAGCCGCCGCCCTGTCACTGGGAGTTGTACACCAAAAAATTTTTAGTTGTGAAGACCAACCATATTACATCAATTTGAAATGACACATGAAAGTGGAATCATGCTGAGCATATACTTCAACAAACAAACTTTCAACAAACTTCCTCAGTTATGGCGTTAAAATTAATAATTAATAAATTCCACCCCCGACGACTCTACTTTTCCGTATTATGGTTTGTTCTTTGGATGGATTGCATACTTTCATAATATGGCTTTAGATATACACATTTGTGATGCTTATAATGAACTCTTAAATCAAACTGGCATATTACTGCAACAATTTATCTAACGACTTAAAAGGAAATACACATATTCTTTAATGAAATGGTTCTGGGTTTTGGTTCGCTCGAGCCAATTGAATAATACCGAGAGACAGGATGAACTTGTTTCATTTACTTTTATGTATATGGTCGTGGTACGTACGATATGGTCATTTGAGACTCTCGCCATGCCCTTATGGATCATTGACCACTTTATTTTATGTGACAGTTGGTGTTTGTAGTTTTTATTGTGTGACTCATGCCAAAATGAGGCTGCCAATTGCCGTTTACACTCGACTACATCAACTTAACAAGATGTAGGACGTTTTAGGATGCATCAGAACTAACTTCCTGGTTTTACATAATGATTAGGTCAGCAAGATGACCGAGGAGGAGTTTAGCAGCCTGAGCGACGAGGACGAAGCGGTAATAATACAGTATTATATTATTATACAAAGATCTTCAAAAATGCATTTTTTAAGAAAAGCCTCCATTTTACCACACCCTCCTAGAATTATGCAAAAGTTGTCAAGGAATCCTGTATTTAACTTAGCCAATCAAAATCGAATTGACATAAACTTTGAAAAATACAATACAATACAATACAATTTAAAATTTGAAACAAAAGACACTTAGTTGGCTTGGGGAGTAGTGGAAAAACCCGATGTTGGTGGGGTGGGAAAACCACTACTTGATCCGGGTAAGCGTCCGAGACCACCATTCGGCCCCTGATGATTTTTTTGAGCATAACATGAAATATTATTAAAGATATAAAACAATTCTTCTAATCCTCGATGATTGGGAACAGCTCCCATAATTGAAGCTGCGTTCCCTCGTTGTACGGCCAAACTTATCCTTTGAATGAGAAAAGTTGTTGACATCGGTTGACAAGTGTTTGATTTGATCCTTCTCCCAAAATAAATACTTGTATATGGTCAAGCCAACTAAGTATCTTGTTTTAAATTGTATTGTGTTTATAGAAATAAATATTAATTTTTCAATAAAATTTAAATACTACAACTCTGAACGAAATTATAAATGTAGATGGAGAGAACACAAACAATAATCATATGTATTAACAAATCAATAAAAACACTAGTCTTCTTTGTCTTCACGAGCTGCTTTGATCTTGTCAAATTCTTCTTTGAATTCATTTCGGGACTTGTCGTTGGTGTAAAAATATCTCTCCGGGGGGTCGCCAACTTCACTGATAAGGTGAGCCATATCCTGAAAGCTTTTGTAGTGTCTCTTGACCTCTGGCCTATCTGGGTCAAAGCGGAGAATGAGCTCTTCCTCAGTGATGGTGTAAGGAAGGGTGGTTGCTTGTTCCATGTTGGCCCAAAGGGGAGGATGGGACCGGTCCCCTTTTTCTACAATACGGAAGAGGGGAATTTTGTCGTCTGCGTATTTGATGGCCTTTTTGATGTACTCAAAGTCGGGAGAAGCCGTCTCTGTGTCAATGTACCGTTCATAGCCAAGTACTTCATTCGTCTTTCTCGCGTAGGCCTAGGATTGAAAAGAACATTTGTTTTCTTTTGACCGGTCAAAATAAGCATAAATATGTATGACACTACACTACTCACCATCAAAAATCCTTCAAGAGCTTGTTTTGTCGCAGTGGAGTCGCACAGAATGACTTTGTTCTGCATACAAGCCAACGGATTTGGGCTCCCAACAGTACGGATGTAAATATGGCTGGGCTTTAAGGTTGCAGTGAAATGGTCGTCGCGCATTGAAAAATAACCACAACGACCAGCAAAAATCCCAATGTAATAGAGCAGCCGGAAAAGAGGTTCACTTTCTAGGACCGGTCCTAATTCTTTCTTCATTATGTCAATTAAACTTATTTTCAGATGTTCCTTGGGAAATAATGTGGCAATGTAAACGATGTCCAAGGGGGGACGTTTGTCACCCGAACTCGAATTGCTATCCTTGATGGTGTCATAGAGCGGATGGTGTGGATCTCTATACGCCATATTCCTTTCTCTATGAGACAGAGATATCCCGTCTTTCATGGCCCGCTTAAAGTATGAAAATAGATTGTTTCTCCATCCATCAGCTTTCATGACATAGTATCCCTTGATGGGTGAGCCTATATATAAATCCAAATTAACTTTATAGATGCATAATAATTACGTAACAATATCACACATACCGGGAATTTTTGTGTCGAATTGGACAACTAGTTTCCCTTTTCGGCGTTGTTGACCCCAGTTGGCTGCATTTTCCAATTCTAATCTTTTGGTGTCATTGCGCACCGGAGGTTTCATTTTCCTCACCTCCTCGAGCCAATCCAGCAAAACTTCGCGGTGGAACTGTTCGTATACGTTGTCCGACAACTGTAAAAATATTGAACCGGTTCAAATTGAGTCTAAAAGCCAAACAACAATATCAAACAAATAAACGTGCTCACATCTCCATGCCGGTAATGAGGAATTGGGATTCCGCGTGAAGGGCCGGGTTGGGGGTTGACCTCCTCCGTATTCTCCAATGTCCCTGCCTCTTCTTCCTCACCAGTCTCTCCATCATCACTGAACATCCTGTAAATCAACAAATTACATTATTTTATTCAACTAATTCAAATCAATCCAATGTCATCAATCGCTGCACCGGTGCAGATAAAAATAAAAATAATTTAATCAAGGTTTGTCTTACAAATCTACAACACCCGAATCGTCCAGTCCAGTCTCTTCGACCTAGGATAAAAAATATTATTAGTTAAATTGTTAACACGCAATATAGATAAGTAGATTTGTAAACAGTAAAGTAAATAATATAATATTTACTGCGCTTTGAACAGCTGTCATCATCGATCTTTTAGGACTGGCCGGGCGTAAGGACTGATCTTCTTCCCTGGCACTAGAATCCAGAAAACTATTATTAAGATTCAACAAGAGAGCAACAATCAAGTTATCCACTAAAGTAAAGAATATATAAGAGAAATAATAAGTAAACAAATATTTCCTTACATATTGATAGCAGTTTGACCGGTCAAAACAACACGAGGCGCAGCATTCTCCTTCCCCTTTTCGTGTTTTTCTGATTGACCAAAACTGAAAATAATAAACTGTTAGAACTGGAATGAAAATACTAATATTTTGACCGGTTAAATATAATTAACTTACCCAAGAGTTGATGACCGTGGTCTTTTCTGAACAAATGTATCCAAAGGACCAGATCCCACTTTGTCCATCGACTTAACAGGGGGGACCCTTTTAGACATGGTGGAATGGAGGGGTGTGGCCTTGACAAAGGTCTTTGGTTTGATTTTTTGTTGTTGAAAAATTAAATTGCACCGGAACAAATAATTTGCTGCTCTCACATGCACTCCTAGCTGACGACTGATTGATTTGGAGATTATGCGGGGGAGTATGAATTACTCGCATTTTTGTTACACGATTTGTCAAGTTTGCACCGGTGCAAGTAATGTGTGCTGGTTCTTTAGACGTGTTGTGACCTGTTTCTAAAACTCATCTTTTATTTCCCTCCTTCCAGCATGTGGGTCAGTTTTTAGTCTCACTCGTTCGTCTATTATTATTTTGGTAATATTGGAGCACATATATAACATGTATTTACACGTATCCAAAATTTCAAATAGGTGGCGAGCGATCTGGACATGCACTCGCTTATCTTGGGTCGCGCCCACGAGCCAGAACCCGAACCACCAACCGCCGATGAAGTAATCAAAGAGATCGACTTTATTATGCAGGTATACTTTTCATTATCTCCTGTTACGCATTGTTTCTCGTCTCTGGATGTTAATACACGTTAATATAAATACGTTGCATGTACCTCAGAGAAGAGGTGTTTCCAGTCTCCACAAAATTCGCACACTACTTTTTCGCACCTTCTTCCTTCCTTGCCTCTGCATGCTTCAACCTTAGGAAAGTGTAAGCTAGTAAATATTTTAGAGCCACTTCCATTCGTGGTAGAAATCAGTTGTGCAATGCGGAGAAAGCGGAGAATTCGCATTCTTCTGATAATTGACTATTGATGAAAGAAACGGCTTTTATTCCGAACATGGACAGCTGCAAAATAAACACGCAGAATTAATGGCAACAAGGATGAAAAGCGAGTGCGAAAAGATTGATGTTTGTATTTTTCATTCATGACCTAGAATCCATCCTTCCCTTGCTGTGCTTATCTACGTAATTACGTACGTACAAAAGCATAGCAAAAGCTTCGTCCTAGCGATGTACTCCCCATTTCTATTCAGAGTGCTCTCGCTTTCACTGATGCTCTTTCGCCAAAAAGCCAATATTGTACACACATTCTCATTGCCTTATAAATAAACCTTCATCCGGTTGTACGTACCTAACTACGTACTCTATGTACCTAAATCCATAGATGGGTGAAACTCATGGCATAATAATTTACTAAGGATGCCCAGAATAATTTACTCCGTACCAAACTTCGATATTTGAGGCATGGGTTTAGTCCGAGGCTTGAAAAAGATAAACATCGCTGGCAAACGGAATTGAAAATGAGACTGGAAATAATAGTAAATTACATTTTACTTTCACCACAGGAGACTCCAGAATCTGAATGCTGTTCGGAGGGAGCCTGTAGCTGTCAAGACAGCAGAAGTGACAAGGCAAAGTTCTGCACGGCCCCGTTCTACAGAGAAAGTAAATAATTTTTGTTTTTTGCAACCTTGCCAAAATGCTGTAACTTGCGAATAAAGAATGGGTGAAAGTCTCAGCTTCATGGATACATACTGCAGATCAGGGCTGTGGTACTTAATTACTTTTGTACTTAATTACTTACTTAATTACCGAATTTAAAGTAATTGGTAATTGATAATTGATTTCAATTACTCTGGTATTTGTCAAAGTAATTAAGTACTTAAGTACTTGAAGGACCTGGAGTAATTAAAATTGGAAGTACTTAATTACTTGGCCAAGTAGTAATTAGTAATTGAATACTCAAGTACTTTGATCAATTACTTAATCGAACATACTTGGAATACTTGAAATACGACAAGTCTCCCTGTCCCGATGAACTCGAATTAAATATGTAAATATCTTTTGTTGTGAACGCTTTGGTCATGATTCCCATGCAGCTTTTGCACTCCAAACTAATTACAACTTTAAATTACAATTGTTTCAACTGGCTGTGTTCCATGGACTGCAAAACTAACCTAAGCAATCTCGTTAGTCAGAGTCAGGTAAAATACAATAGATAGAAATGTACGCATTAACAATTTTAATGTTGTAATTGTGGGAAGAAAAGGCCATTATCTCTCTGGAGTAAAGATTCACGGCAGTTTTAAACTTTTGGATCATATAGATGAACTGTTTGCTGTACCGAAATATTGATAAAAGTTTTATCCTATTCGGAAATGAATTTTTTGGTCGAAAGTTAGCCTTTAAATAAATAGCGTTTAATTAATTTCAAGTATGAGGATTAAGTAATTAGTAATTAAGTAATTGACTTTCAATTACTAATAATAATTGGGAATTGAAAATCAATTACTTGCTTGCAAAGTAATTGTAATTGATAATTAAGTTCAATTACTGGACAAAGAAGTATTTGTAATTAGTACTTAATTCCAATTTTCGCAGACGGAGTAATTAAGAATTAAGAATTAATTACTTCCATTGGTAATTGAACAGCCCTGCTGCAGATGGCCTTGATGGTCAATTGATCGTATGGAAGAACCATTATCTCCAAAAGATCAGATCAGATACTCACAAAGTCATTCATTCCTTTCACAAGAACATAAAATAAATCCGATTCTTCCTCTCCACTCAAGTTTCCAAGTCGAAGCGACTGACTCAACCTGGTGTGCCTATTGATGATGCAACTTCCTTCTCAAAGTCATATCCAGTGCTTCAAGGAGAAAGTTTAAGATGCACGCTCATGTTCTCTATTCGCACGAATAATAAATGCATTACTTTTCTGAGCGAAATTAATCGTTCAATTTAATTTAAGTTCAAATCAATTAGCCCGAGTCCAAAGCTTATGTGGTCGTCATACTCTGTCTGTCTGTCCGTCCGTCTGTTATATGGTCATTGAACCCGAGCCGATTTTGACTTGCAATGTTAGTCTTAAAATGCACATATTTCCAAGGCTTTGGATGAGTTCGAAGATAGGCATGATCGGACCAGTTGTTGAGCGGTGGGGGCGTTTAAGTTGTGGGGTTAAATACATTGTGCACATTAGATCTAAGAATATGAAACCCAAAATAAAAATTATTTTCGCCAGAGGATCCAATAGCGTGACCCACACTGACTTTTGAAATTGGTCTAAAAAACCTGAATAAATGTGACGATTAGTGATGATTGCGAATATCAAGCCTGGTGTATGGCAACTTGTACGAAAAAAGAGCATCTGATCGATATTACCGGCGTCGTTAAATTTTGCACCACAATTTGGTAATAGCAGTTGGGTTATCGCCTTATCGGACACAAATAAGACTCTGGCTCGGGCTAAATGAAGACTGCCCTGTGTATAGATTTTAATGCTTGTCTGTATTTTTGAGTTGTGGGGAATAAAAGTCAATGTCATGTTGTTCTCTTTCTTCAAACAGAACTGAACGAGTTATCCCTCAACGAGTTGAACGAATTACTAATCGAATTGGAAGCCCAAATTAAAGACTACTCTGAAGTTCTCATTAATGGTGAGTGAGATCTATTTAAAATGTGCATTTCCTAAAAACTCTTTTACCATTTTGAGTTAATTTTGTGGCTCTTTTGAGTAAGTTAAGGATTATAATTTTGTGTATACTTGCAGAGTTGGCACTTCGGGATGAGTTGGAGTTTGAGAAGGAGTTGAAGAATTCGTTTATTTCGCATCTCCTCGCCGTGCAAACCAAGCGACGACAGCACAATTTAGACAGGAAAAAGAACAAGGTTGGCGAGAAAGGTGGACCTCCCAATGGGACTACTCAGCAGTCCAAGGCAAGCCAATTCCCAATTCTATACATACATATTTACTATGGCTCTTATTATAAATGAACCTCAACTTTTAGAGTATAAAACTGCGCATTGTACAAAACTTAAGTATACGTATATCGACTTTGTGACTATTAAAATTGCCTTTCAGAAATAAATTATTCATTACATCTAATTCTGCTTCATGGTATTTACACTTGGCGTTACCCGGTGCCATGCTTTTAGGGACGAGCCAATTTACTACCAAGCTATTCTATTTTTGTCCAAAATTAGAATTGAAATTTTCTTCTGAAATTATGTTGGCACCTTTCTGTTTCTATTTTCTCTCTGCATGCAAATGCTCAAGTAGAACTAAAACTCATGTCAATTTGTATGTAATAGTACGTATGTATATGTATGTATCCCCTTTCTTTCCATAATTGGAAACTAGGCTAGATTTCACTCCGTCGACTTGACAGTTTAAGCTTATGGAGATTGGTTTTAAATCAAAATCTGTTCTACATACATATTTACATACATACAGAATATACCCATGTCTCAATTCTCTTACCCTAAGAAACTATAATGCATACCTAGAAATCCGTACAATTGGAGCTTATCTAGTTTCTCTAAAACCTAAAGTTGGCAACCTGTAGAGAATTGATCAGGAATTTGTGCATTTATTCATCAGTAGATTTTTTCTTCTGAACTCTGAATCTACATACATACATAGGTGTTTACTTTGGGACGCTAGAGTAGTCGTACAACCACTTTTATTCTATGACAATTGACACTTACTTATACTTATTTGCTAAACTTGTGTACATAAATCCAATCGCTTGTCTCTCCTTACAGTATCTCACAACGGTCATTCCATACCACGCCCACAATGGCCCACCTACTAATCCAAATTTGCAAGTACTCATCAAAAGTAAGATTAATATTTACTTACTAAATAATGCTTACTTGAATTATGTAAATAATGTGATCAAGTTTTTAATAATTCTACAAAATGTTTTTCCCCCCAGTCCTCAAGGCAATCGAACAAGGTGAGTATATTTTTTGCACCGTACGATATCCGATAAGTCCGCTCCCTACATGTGAACAATATTTGGTTTTTGAAATGTATATCTAAAATGAATTTGTCATTTTTGTTCAATAGATAGCCCAGCCGTACCCACTCTGCTGACCGACTATATCCTCAAAGGTAGCAGATAATTATTTGCTGTCATTCAAATCAAGTGAAATTGTGGGTTAAAAGAAACTATTTATTCTTGGTTTAAATTGCAGTACTCTGTCCAACGTAAAATCAACTACCTTCAACTTTGGCGTCAGCAGCGTTTATTTTAACCTTATTTAACCTAACGACTCCAATGACCAGATCATTTTCTTTCTGCAAATGTTCTTCATTCCCAAAAAATCTATACTGAAAAACGTATTGTTTCAAACTCTGCCTTCTAATTACCAGTTTCAAGCGAGTACTGCTTACAATTAACTTTTTGGTGCGGTACCAAAATCGAGAAGAAATGGGATGCTGTATCTCATCCACTGATTTTCTAAATTTTCCTCTACATCTAAAATAGTGTCACGAAATCTTTCTCGTATTCTCAAAAATGCAAAATTAACCAACCAACACCGCTTTATTATTAGGATTACACATACGCTGTGCTGCTATGTACAAAAATCAGTAACATATTAATCGTGTGCCCAAAGGTAGTTGTCAAAAATACGGCTTGAATGCAACACATATTTCTACGTTATTCTTCTGGTTCTCATTATCTACATGATCACGAACGAGTGAAACATATAGAATTCAAGTTCCATGTATGAAAATTCTCATATTTCTGCCCCCAACACAGATCTATTTGTATGTGTGTGGCAACATTATATATAACTTCAACTATTTATGTGTTACATCAATTTTCCAGTGTTGCATTCACCCAATATTCAGGAATAGTGCCATATACATTTAATTTATGTTTTTACAATCTAATTTGATTTGCAACTTTTTGTGTTCAAACGTACATTTATTTTTCATTTATTATTTATATTGGTCTTTTCATACAGATCGTAAATGCTAGTCAATTCACAAACGCAATCAACACGTTTCTGCTTATTTAAAAAAGAGTAAAGGTTATATTATAAATATATCATCACATCACACACCTTGACAATTTACAAAGTTATGTACCTTTATTCCGCCAATATACCTGATATAATAATTTTTAGTTCCGTAATCGCAATTTATAATAATTACTAGCTTTACTTTAATTATTTGAAGTTTGTGAGTGAAAGTATTGCACGTTCTGTCGGCTGATGGATGACGGCCAACTCTTTTTTGTGCTGATAAGTGGGGCGAATAATGTAAAAAAATAATGCATGAAGGACACATGAAAAAACACCAAGAAGCTGACGCTATTTCGCTATTACATATATCACAGGATCCTCATTTTGCAATATGCAATTTGTCTCAACGATGCTAGTCTGCATTAGCTAAGGATGGATGGAAGTAAGGATGATGAGGAGGAGGATAGAAATCGTATAGTATTTAAGAATATTAAGTAATAGCATATCTGTAAGGATGAATTGGAGGGGTAGCTGAACCATTTGCCACGTTGCGTTAATAAAGTAGTTGAGTGAGAAAGCTTATTGACTTTAAATTTTGAACCTTAAAATAAGAATGATATTTTTGGTGATATTATGCGGCAATTAGAGTGCTGAATCATTTTGTATGTAGAATATATAATTATATCAATAACGCCATTTGATGATGACCAATAGTCAAATGCTTAATTACATACAAACAAAACATTGCACCAACTCCATTCTCCTCCCGTTCCACAAATGGAGAAAGTAAATTTGCGAGTGAAAGTTGCAGTAACTTTTTGACGCTGGCCAAGTTGCTTCATGATTGGGCAATGTACGCTTGGGTAGCATAATTACTTAATTTATTTGTGTACAACAGCAAATAATGATCCAATATTGTTAGTGGAGATTTATTGTGCTGGTGTGGTCACTATATATTTCACCTGTATTGAAATGGAGCATGTGCTAATAAAAAAAGCGTTTTGAAAGTACTGGATTTAATATTTATTTCAAACCGACGCGTCATACACATGTAACATAAAAACATAAAGCTGACGACGACTCGAATCAAACGCAAAACTAGCGAGGATCTGTCCGACCAAAGGCGGAAGGTCTATTCCCATCCCATATTAAAAGACAAATAAAAATCGAAACATACGATATGACAAAGCTATGCCACACGCATATTATTATGTCCATATGATCTAATTTTTATCACTGGTTTAAGAGCGATCATATGAAATTGCACAGGTACAAATAAAGCAAACATATTCATGTCTTCAGCAAAGGAGAGTATGTATATACATATGTAGTATAATATATAGTACACTGGTTGGGTGATAATTGTATAACTACTGCTTCATTCATGTGTTGAAGAATGACAGTCCGCAGAAATCCACTGTTGGGTTAATAATTAGACTTGTGATGTACAAAAGAATTATGACGGCAGGCGCGGTAAGATCAATAAATTAAATATTTAGGTATTGTAAATTGAAAAGTCTTGCTAGCTACTCGGATGGTTATTATTAGCCGCTGCTCAGTGGACTAACAGACATTCTATTTGGCAATCGCATCCATCCAAGTTCTTGTTGAAGCACGCGAGGCACATTAGATGTATCCAGTCGATGTTTTAACACACAAAGCATGCATAAAGTTTTTAAAGATGGTTCTGAAATGCATATTAAATATAATTATTAGCATCATGGTGTCAATTTATTGAAAGACTATGCGTGGAAATTACAGTGTGACGTACCCATGTCCAATACATACATATCATCATGGTCCACAAGATTTGCTTCTTCGTTGACGTCATTATTCTGCTCATCTTCGGTCGGAGGTGATCGGTTCTGAAGTGGGAGTGGTGGACTAGTTCCTCCAAAAAAGAAAACACGATTATCAATAACAACGCAGCCTTGCCGCCGACGAGGTCCGGGACTTTGGCCACATGGTTTCAGAGATTTCCATTCGCCACTTTCTACAATAATTATATTAATTGCAAAACAAATGACCATGAGTTAACAACAAATAATTGTAGATTATATTTTTAGCCTTTATACCTGGATCATATCTATAAAAGTCATTCAAGTGTTGATTATTGCATCCATTATATCCTCCAAATACATACATAAAACTATTATGCATAAAGGCCGAATGTGACCTCCGACCTTGAGGGATGTCCCCATGCGTTTTCGGTCGTATCCATTCCTGTCGTTCAACATCCAGACAAACTGTACATTGGCAGAAAGAGAAACGATATGATTCATGATCACACGAACTTTCGCAATATTTGTAAAACACATGTAGGCAATATAGACAAACCTAGCGTGTTGCAGTACATTTCGTTTCTCGTGTGGAATGGCCCATGACGATCTCCTCTCCCCCCAAATACAAACATATATCTGTAATAATATTAACATTATAAAATTATAAAAACAGAATACAAAATTTGTAGTCTTTGACAACCGTCATTATTTCAACAAAATCATATTGTGACAAACTACAAAAATGATGCATGTACCTATCCAAGTAGACGGTAGCAGTATGAAAATCTCTGAAGGAAGGAGGAAGACCCTAAACAGAAGAGATCATATGAAAACATAAAATTTTAACACCTTAACAAATCGTGAGCGACTAATTATCTGCTCATTATTAATTGGTTACAATTATGAAATCTTACAAAGGTAGGCATCATCGACCACGTTAGACTATTAAGATCCAGCGCATAAACGTCTTGTGAGAACAACCCAATCTCTTCCTCGTACCCTCCGAAAATAAACATTTTATTTCTAATTATGACTGCAGAGTGTCCATCCCTCGCTCCAGGAATACTTCCCGTGACATTTGGCCTACTCCAGGTATGAGATTTGGTATCTAAAAACGATAAATCTCATTATTAGCACATGCAGATCATTAAGAATCTTAATGCAAGACAAATTTTATGTGTAAATACATACCGAATCGAAACAAAGTCTTGCATGCATTTTCATCATTTCTACCTCCCCACAAGTACACATAAGTACCATAAGATACAACGGTATGGCCATATCTTTGAAATGGGATGGCTGAGTCCACATCAAAGTTTAGCACCTTCCAGCGATAGGTAACTACAAGCCACAAAATGACGATTTTTCATTAATTTTGCATACATGATTTTAATCTTACTAAAACGACGACAGCAATAACACTGCATCGTCATAGTCATGATAGCATTGGTAAATCGTGCCTCAATCGCGTTAAAAGTGTAAAAGTTGCAAAATTGAACGAGTCAATTAAGACACCATAACGCATTCGCTCATCTCAATATTTGGAAGATTGTAAAATAAAAATGCAGTGTTGCGCCAAAAATCGTTTCACATCACGCCGTGTATGATAACGCCGTGCAGTGTAGTAGTGGTGCCATGTAAATGTGAAAAACAATGTGCAACAACCTATATGTAATAATGTAATGAACAAGAATGGGGATGAAGAAATCCACAGGAAGACACGAAAAGCCATTGACCATCAGTGTGTGTGTGGTATTATAAAAGTGGACAGACCACAATGTTGCTACATTCATGCATCTCTAACCCATGCTCACAATAAGTAATATTGCAACTTTATCAAAATGGCATGAACAGGTAAATACTTAAGACGCACACGCTCACAAAATTTTTACAGGCATTTCCAAACAACTCTTATGAGCGACGATGAACATAAGAACACGATATGTAGGTCAAAAAGCAAGTTTTTTTTGTTTGTTTGTTGACTATGACTTTGTCATTTTAATTGTTGAAGGGCTGAGTGCATTATTATGACAAAATGTGGCCAGTGAACTTCACCTATCTTCTTGCTTTACTGAAATTGCAAGTAAATGGTCCACTTGGATTTATTGAGAAAAAAGTTACAGAAATTAGAAAGGCCCTTTGCAGTTGGCTAGTTTGTTTTTCAGATCATCAACGGATGTATATTTAATTAATGCTATGCTCATAGTATCCTCAAGGTTTACTGAAGCTGTGTCCTACACTTGAAAATACGATGATAATTATAAATGCATAACTAACATGCATATGTTTACGAACAAAGTTTGAAAATAAAATAAAATATTGAAAATAAAATAATCCTATTAAAATTGCCACCTGGATTGAGAACATGAACGTCAATAGGCCTCTGAATCGCATAGTCTTCATCGGTGCAGTATCCTCCAAAGGAGTAAAGCGCTTGACCCACGGACACCGCAGCGTGATTGACACTAAAACAAGTACCAAAGTAAAGTAATTTAAATTAGTGCCCTTTAATAATCCAGATTCGAAATGAGTACGTCAGGATTGGGTTGGATTAGAGTTAAGCGATTGCGATAAAGAAAATATGAAGAACATCTCGTAATCTCGTTCCATTCACTTTCAATTCGAACTCGAAATCAATAATAGGTTGTATCAATTAATTAATCAATTACTTTTTATATATGATTACGAATATTATGATGAAATTCAATTGTTGTGTTGAATTTAATTAATTAATCCAGCATCTTAATGTGATTGAACATTATTTAAAAACGAAATGTAGTTATCTAACCGTCTAATAATGAAAGTCGCCATTTTTGAAGCAGTAAAACGTTGAATATTGAGTTGTATTAAAAACCAGGAAGTGAACCAAGATGTTCTGCTTACCGTTTGGGTCCTCCTGCGAGATTGATCGTCCAGTGCATCTAAATAAATAGAATTTGTACTGTAGGAAACAGGGCAAATTGTTGGTGTGATAAGAAAGAGTTTGAGACGGGAGTCTGTTGGGTGTGGTTGGCGTGGGTCGTCGTATTTTACCATTTACTACAAGTTGCCTACAACAGCACTACCGTTACGACGACCAAGACTTCTATTAGCTGTGTGTGCCAATGTGTTTACTTCCTATTTTTTCAAGATTGGTGGTCACGATTCACGATCGTCTGGCCAATCCAAACCCGTCGCGGCACTTTGTCTCCCGATCTCTGGATCTCACAAATGAAAACACGTTGTGTTTGTAAACACGTGTGTGCAAATCTCCAGTCACTTTCAGCAGGTGATCGTCCCTTTTCGTTCACTCAGCAGGTAAGTTTTATTTGGCTAATTATTTACAAAATCAGGACATGATTTTTTAAATTTCCAAATCTACAAAACGACTACAGGTACTAAGAGAGCTGAGATGGAAAAATATTCAGAACCTACTAACACAACCTTCTAATTTCGAATAAAATCGATATTAATCGTCTTTCTAGTCAGCCCCTGCCACTATATAAAGTAGTAAGTTATTTTTTAAAATATAGTTCAACTAGTATTATTGTCGATCCTTAATGACGGAATCAGTCCACTGTTTAATTTCAAAGGCTCGAGACTGACTTATAAACAAACCATTGCATTGTCGATCATTGAACGTAAAATAAAACACTTCAAGTCCAATATATATATTAACGTAATCATATTGTTTTATTTTTCAAAAAACAGGATTTAATAATTTGGAACGAACTGCACAGCGTTAATAAACCTGTCGTATTTTTTTTCACTGGAGCACTGACCGTCGTGTTGTAGGGATTAAGGAGGTGAGGAAGGCTTACCTTTTTGAAAGGTTTTGTGTTGGCGTCGCATGGGAGACTGATTTCATTTTCATGGATCGGGCCTTTGTTTTTCCTGTAGCACCAGTCTCCCCGAAGAGGAAGCAACGCTGCTCGAAACACGTCGATTAAGGCCATCGTCACTGGTTTCAACTGCAACCAGCGATCCACGGTTTCCACTAGACAATGAATTTCGAAGATTGTTCCAACACGCGACGAGGAAGAAATTCTCGGTCACGATAAATTGCAGTTTTTGTAATATTTTATTACTACTTATCTCCACGGACTTACTGCACGTCGTTCACTCACTTCACACTCCACCTCAGCAGCCAAACTCAGACTCAACGGCAACAGTTTGTTGTTGACTTTTCACTATCGACTATATTACTCCTACAAATACAAACAGTAAAGTAAGCACTTGTTGAGTTCACTTTCAATTCTATTCAACACGAGATGCGTATACAATCTCCGAATTGTTATTTGGTATTCACAACATCCATGCAAGTTGGTTATAAATATTGATCATTCAACTTCTTATCCATCCCTACAGAGAGTCCACATAAGCAGGAGACACTGGGTTTACTATTTGAGATTTTCGTGTCGTGTCCATTAAAGAGAGAAATGTGCCACTGTTTTATTCGACCTACAAGAAAGAGTGCACACACACAGCTAATAGCATAGTGGATCAATTCATTCCACAAGTCTAATTATAGGGACATGCTAGTCACGATTTGACCATTGTTTGGTTAACTGTTTACTAGTTGTTAAAATTTTTAGCGAATGTCATGTCACTGCGTGAATCTATCTTGCACGTATTAATAATAATGGCACATATTAGAGATTTTTATTTAGAATACAGATTACAGTGACGATGAGATGACGGGAGTTAAAGCCTAAAACTCTCACGTGCATTTGCATGGAGCTTTTCTATGCACTACTCCCAAGATTAATTTTGCGGATGACGAAATGTTCTAATATAAGTGGTCTATAGAATGTTTTCAAAGCTATATTTGTACCATAAGTTATCTGTTTGCCTATCACTCAACAAGGGGCGAAAATTACTTTTTAAACTCGTCGTCCAAATAATAAGAAATTGAAAATGATCACTTTCGGCTTCCACGTTTGACGTTGTGAAACGCAGTCCTTTCAACAGAACCTAATCAGACGATATCTCCAAAATTAATGATCGAGTGTCATTAAGGATTGTAAGAAAATGTTTAAATTGCAGAGAATAGGACTGCGTGCTGTTAAAGTACTCCTTCTTTCAATTATTGTTGGTCGGTTGTAGTATGCAGAATAGTTGGTTGTAGTGATTGCTATTGCTGCATGCGGACTTGTGGAAAATTTCTCCACCTCAGAGATGAATGAGGTCTAATGCCCATATGTAAAGGGTTTGATCAAGCAGCAAAGTAGAAAAAACTCAAAACACTTTTAATGAGAATGTGCAATACTTGAAGGGATTTGCAAAAACGAAGTGCATACGCATCTCCTAGTAGCATAGTAATCTACATGCTATGTATCGAAACAATAAGTTAAATCATGTACATATTTGCTTTTGACGTTTAAGTGAAGCCCACTGAATCTGTATATGTAAATGCATTTCGACTAGTTCCAAAATAGTGCTTAGAGCCACCATTCGTCGGCAGTTCGGCACCCAATTTTATGCAGCAAAACTTTACGGAATCGACGTATAGGCACGAAAGGTAGTGTTGGCTGGTATGAACCAGCTTACCTCTAGGAATGTTTACGTATCAATAAAAATTAAAACATTACCTGATTTCCATGTTCATTGTTCATTCAACAAAGGAAAACTTATTTCCGTCTAATGTATAAAGTCTATGGGGTTTAAGTTTTGAGATTTGTGGATGCGACTTGATGCGAGTTGCGAATCGCAACTCGCGAATAAAATCTCTCGTAGTATAATAAAAACTAGGTTACGATGCTGCTGGTTACATAGGGTACGCATCTTGAGAATCTCTCTCGCTCACCTCACCTTTCTTTTTAGTTTAGTTGAGCACCTCGAGCTATGATGGCACACTAAATATTTTTAACAGCTATTCAACAAAGCTTGGCTTGGTTTGAGTCTTCTTCATTTTCTATGTGATACTGATCCTCGCTAAATTGAACTACTTTAAAATTCGTAATGCTGCATTGTGCAGTGTGAGATTTATGTAGTTTTGCTTGCACCCCGTTGTAGAAGTGATGTCTGTATATATTGCATAGTCTAGTGGGCATACCGTATAATCAGACATGTCAGTGCACATTATAAATTTGGGCTCTCTGCAATAATTATATCTAATCTGGCATTTCAAGTAACTAATCCCACTTTAACTAGTTTAATTCTGGAAGCAGTTTAGTACATAATAATAATTATTGTATATAGTTGTAAGCATATGTATGAAGAGAGACTTCTTTTCTGGTTTTATCTTTTACATGCACCGGTACCGGTTAATGTATTTATTAGAGTGTAGAGGGTGATTTCTACCTTGCTTAAGCTACTTACTTGGCTTAAAATTTTTGCATGAGAATGACAACTATGGTAATCACTTTGTACTGGTTACTGGCGTGGTATTAAGTAGTATGCAATAATATTTAAGTGACTGGCAGTACTTACTTGGATGGTAAGTGGATGGACCCCATAAACTATGGGAAAGCTTGAGGCGGAAGTACTGGCTTCGTATTACCATAATCGAGAATCTCGATTCGAGATTAAGGATTAAGTATTATGCTGCAGGAAAGTAGTTTTTGGGAAAATTGGATAACCGAATTCCGCCGCATGAAAAGCTATCTTAGGTGATAGCCAGATCGATTGTATGTGCTTAGAATTAATAAGCATTGTCACTCTGTTACTTTTAGTCGGATGGGTATGCTAATGAAATGTGGGCCAATAGAAAGTACATATGTATAACTTTGCACTTCTCATTCGTAGTAAATAATAATGCATGCAAATGATATATCCGTTTTTAAACTTCGCTTTTGTTTTATTGGCATGTGTGTTGGTTATTACGTTATGCTCCTATGGTCCAATTTAAATTTATGGCTTGCTGCTGATTAATTTTAATTCCATGATTAGTTTCTTTGGATCATGTTTTGCATAATTGACTCGTTAACACTTCCTCAATTTATTTTCATGTGGCAAACCCTTTACTGAATAGAAATTCACTTTACACACAATCTCCTTCTGCTTGTTAAGTCTCTGCACGGCTTCTGCATAGCTGAATTATGTGTGAATATTCATTCACAAGTGCTTAATGCTTATCACCTAACTAGTCATTATAAAATGGTGCGCTGGTGGTGCACCGTGTGAGGCATATTCGGACTCATATATTCGACCCAGTTACACACACTGCAGCGTCGATGATAGAATTATTTCTGATTTGTTTTTTATGATTGAATTTTAGGTACCAGCACAATGGAGTATCTGAGGACACGGCTTCAAGAAGTCACAGGACATCAGCTGGATGTTACCCCAATTTTTGAATTCCTGCATAGCTTTTCTCTCGGCTTATCACAGGCAACTAAAGCAAGAGTCGAAGAATTTGAATGCAAATGGAAAGCCCAACCATATTGCAAGCAACTAATTCTGGCATATATCTTGGGCTCTTGGAAGCCTCACTCCGCTGCAAGTATGAGATTTTTTAAATGGCATGCTACTTAATGTAAAAATTCTTGTTTATTATATAATAAATCGCCTCATAGGAACTGCTGAAATAATTTCCCAAAGAACATGGGACGATTATGCAAATCAAGTATATCAAGTTACTTCAGTTACCTCAAGTTGCACTTCGACCATCGGTCCTTTCACATTCAGGGAAATGATTCAGCACGAATTTTGGAAGGACCTGTACGATGCGTTTGGACAGAAAGTGGTTGCATTCGTACTAGATAAAGCATTGATCATTTTCGAAGTGGAATCCCAATTTTATCTGCTTATTGCTGCCGAAGGTTCGACCTTGCACCAAAAGATCGCCAAGGCGCCGATCCGTCCAGTCACACGAAGTGGAGGTGGACCACGTATTACTTCAACTAAATCGTTCAATCCCTACACACTAAATGAGAACGATATAATCAGCCAAGTTGACCAAGTTCCGAAAGTAGCACCTGTGGAAATTTCTCGTCCACAACTCCAAAAACGAAAACGACGCATTTCCACTGATCAACAGGATCGCGATGGACTGGCCGCACATTTCCACAAGAAAGTCAAAATCTCTGCAACAATCGACTACAAAAGAGCGGAACCTCTATTTAGCCATCGTAATAGTGAAAAACAAATTAGCAGCAAAGAAGCAATAGGTCAAAATACTAAAGGTCTAATTAGATGGTTCAAACCCACTCAAAAGATTTTACACTTGCTACTTGAGACTCGTGAAGCATTGAAGAAAACCAGTGGAATTCCTCCTTCTATCACTCAACCACCTCGGCCTGAAGATGCAATGACACAATTACACTTTGTTGGCATTATGGAAAACCAGGAATTTGGAAAAATAGCGCGTCTTAACGTGGTTCACAAGCAGTACAGGCCTTTAGACTTTAAGAAACCTATTCATATTTCTGGTGAGTGGGAAGGACTTGTAATAAAAGAGCCTGAAACTCGTTCCTCTGATCGTAAGTACAACGTGAACGTTTATCGTATTTCTGAAGATTTCGCTCGTAAAAACAACATTCGGGTGAATAGAAAACAGCGAAGGGGGAGAAAATATCCATCAGAAAGTTATTCATCATCCCCAATCTCCATTCAAACTTTGGAAAAAACAAATATTGCTCACCCACTACCACTGCCTCCTGCACTACCCATCGACTGCTTCTATACCAAGGATGATGATGCGGATCACTACAATCCACTAATGACTTTGAGCACGTTACCGGCACTGTACAACAAGGGTTCCTGGTCGCGCTGGCCTCATTCTCATATCCTTACAATAGTTTCTTCCAAACCCCTGAAAGAAGCTACGCTCCTTCTTCTTGAAGATATCCTAGGCACTGACGTAGGTGCACCAATGTACGACACGAGAATTTCTATCAATGATTTTCCAGAGAACTGTCTTCTTTGGGATATTCTCAAGAAGCTCATTATGTTTCATAAGCGTGCTCACAATGATATCCACAAGCTCGTAAAACGGTGTATAACATATTGGATGATTAAACTTCAAGAAAAGTTTTCATCAAAGCAAAACAAAGCTAATCAAAAGAAAGGACGGCAAAGGTTCGAACATGGTAATATTGTATCATCACCACAAAAGAATTCCCCAGAGACAATAGACTTGGCGACAGGGAGCAAGTTTATGCTGTCTAGTGAATTGACGACCACTGGAGGAGGAAGAGGCAATCAATTGATAATAGAAACTTCCATTCTTTGCACAACATCTGATGGGACCAATAATCAAAATTCCTCGGAAATCCTACAACCAAGCAATAAAGAACCCGTCAAAACCGCGTCTGGGCAAGAAATTAAGCGACCTGCTATTGATTCAAAGTTGAAGGAACGTATACCACATTCATGTATTCTCATGACGCTGAGACACATTTTGCATCTCAGCGGACTGGAAGTGGCCATCGGATCCAAGAAAAATTTAAGGAACTTTCACCTATTTGTGAGAAAATCTATAATCTTGGCTGGCACAAAATCGTCCCTCCAGTTGGGACAGATGATGTCACAGTTGGACCCTTCAACTGCTTTTGGCAATTGGATGCCTCTTGACATGAGTTCATCTACCAGAAGTTGCCTCTTTGCAAAAATTGTGACATGGATTTTCACAACTTACCTAATGACGGTACTAAAAACCAGTTTCTATGTAACGGAAATGAACACGAGCCGGCTCCATGCTTGCTTTTATCTTCGAGAATCTTGGAAAAGTATAAGCGAAAGCGTGCTACATCGTCTTGTAAAGTCTGGCACATTGGGTCATGTAGCCAAGTTACCTATGAAATTTACCGCTAAAGCTGATCAACGTCGGTTTCTGCAAGGGATTAATTCTAGAATTCGATTTTTGCCCAAAATGAATAATGATATGCGTCCAATAATTTCCTTATATGGGGAAGCGTAAGTTTTGTACTTTCAAATGATTCTTGATATTGATGACCCTTGACATATTTTAATGAGCGTTATTATTGCTGGTTTGCATTACAGGAGAAACAAATGGGACGAGAAAAATGCAAAGTTGCTAATTGATTATATAGTGAGAACAAAGTCGCCACACAGACTCCGGGACACTAACGTTCTTCGTCAACGCTGGCTGAAATTTTTAGGAGAGTGGCAGAGGCAAAACCGACCCAAGCTATATTTTGTTAGAGGAGATATTCAGAACGCATATCCATCGGTCAATATTACGAAGCTCAAGAGAATCCTAGAGAATCTGACACCGGAACTTGGCACCTTGACTCGAAAAGAATTTAAAGTATTCTCGAAAACTCGAGCTATGTACAGGAAGGTCATCATTTGCTGGAAACGCCCAGAGATGTGGACGGATTCCATATTTGCTCGGCCGTGCCTGGTTCAACATAATGACAGTCATGTAAATTAATAACTTTATTCTACTAAATATATTTATTGAATTTATAAACTTTCTGCCTGATGTTGACTGAACAGAGTATACAACTGAAGCCAGAGGAGGTGTTTAAAAAATTGTATCCATACTCTAACAAGAGTGTTTTGAGAATTGGAAAACACAAATACAATTTTCAAAAGGGATTACTTCAGGCATGTTACAAATTCCAAGTTTAAAAGCCACAGAGCTAACCTTGCATTTTTATGCAGTTCGAATTTGAATATACTTTATATTTACAGGGATGGGTGTTGTCGGAAGGATACTGCAATTTGTACTATGGCCAAATGGATGCCGAATATTTTTTTAGATTCCTCAATAACAATGGAGAGTTTTTTAACACGAGTATAGACGATTACTTATATATTACTCCAAATCCAAAACGAGCTGCCAAGTTCTTGGACAAATTACGAGCTGGTGTTTCAAGATTCAACTGTAAATTTAATGCTAACAAGATGTCGACAAATATTTATCCAACAATTCATTGGCCAATTTCTCGTCAAGATTGTGAATGGGTTACATTTTGTGGTTGGTGCTTTTGCTTGACCTGTGGTCACATTATGAGGGATTTTAGTGCATATGCGGGACAAGATATGGCATCAAGCATATCGTTCATTCCTTGGAATGTTACCAGCCCAGAAAAGTAAGTCCATGAATCTACATACATGTGCACAACGCCATTGCTATCTATGTATTTTAGCCATCGTGTCACTTTCCAGTGTAAAAGTCAGTGCGCGACGTCTATTTATAAAACTATATAAAAAATTGTAGTATTAATGATACTTATGTAATTTCAGCTTTTTGGTGGCTAGAATGAAGGTGATGCTACCGGCTCGTCTCCACCATTTCATCTTGGACCCCTCCATAAACTGTCGAAGTCGGATAGTTTTAAATATTTTGGAAGCTGGATTAGTCTTTGCATTTAGATTTTATGCAATTTGTAGAGTTATCTATCCCAATCTTAGTGCTCTGAAATATCCCAAACGAGCAAAGCAGAGTATATCTGCAATCATTGTGTGCGCTGGGGCAGTATCGAGGTGAGATTTCTAACCTTCTAATCCTTAAAAAATATCATCACTCAGCTACAATTATACTCATATTCGATCATTGTAAAATTTAGAATCATCCTACGCACGTTTGAAACGACGTACACCTCTGGAACAATGAATATCCAATGCACACCTGGACGTGAAGCATTTTGTCCATGCATTAATTCATATCATGGTTTGTCTGAGACAGGAAGACATCAACTAATAAAATCCCAATCGCATAATCAGAAAGATGATGCCATTTTGACAATGCCATTGCACCAACATGAGATTCTCTACGTTATTTATCATGCATTTACTTTAAAATTTAATCAACATTCTTCAGTATTTGGCGAGGAAGTTTTGCCCAGACTAAACAAAATGAAACAATTCCAGAGATCTTTAATAAATCAAGAATTGCGCAATTTCTTGGATAAGGTTCTTGATAATCGCATGCCGTTTCATTTTAAGAACATTAAAGTGTAGCTACTTATTTTAAGGAGTTTATACTTTTGTGATATTAGTTATTTAAATTTAGCTATATAAAAAAATCTCGTTTGTAAAATAAAGTACAATAAATTGGTTATAAAATGAAGCGCTGTGTCTTGATTTAATATTTAATGATTTAACGTTTCTCCATTCAATTGTCTAATACATAAACACGTTGAAAGATTTGGGCTTCAAAATAGGATAAAGTTTGGCGAGTGTAATGCCATTTCATCCACAAACCTGGTAAATTCATAACCGTATTGTACATATATGTATATCTGCATCATCTATACTCATATAATTACAGGTTTCTTATAATTCATACCGTGTAATTTCCCCTCGAACTTGTGGAAAACGCTGAGCAACTGCGAACCACTTGTTCTCATCAAGAGTTTTCTGGTCGCGAATCCACCATCCATAATTCATACTGTTCGTGATGGGGACGCAAAAGGTTTCCTCAGTTCCTGCCAACAACAGTTTTATGACGACCTTCAGTGCTCATGTAAAAAAAATACGTACCAAGAAGACTATCAAAAACCTTTAGGGTTCCGAGCATGTCGCAATTTCTGACGACTCAGTCGACTGAATCTCCCATAGTTCCTGCCATCCACGAGACCTGAGTAGATGTCAATGTTGTGAAAGTTCTCGGCCAATCTTTCATCAATGTCAGTTGCGTTGGGTTTTGGTAGGAACTGTTCCAAACTGGGACGCCCCTCATACTTGTCCCGAAATTTGGGGTTGATGGCCTCTCGAATCGGTTTCTGATATCCATATTTGGTGATCCCCATAAAAAAAATGCGGTTGTTCACTTTCTGTATGGCATCCTCCTCCCTTTGACGTTGAGTCACGCCACAACAGTTCAACAAGTCCTCATCAGCATCTCGCAACTTTACCGTCGCTCGAAGAAATGACGGCCTTTGATCTGTACACTCGCCCATGTCTCCCACAACTCTGAGTTTTATGAAACGGCTGACTGTTTAATAATAAGGGACCGACAAAATGAGTTACAAAATCCTAAATTTTCCTAGATATAAGTACTAAAGCACGGTTGCTTGACAATAAGTATCTTAGCACTGTAATATTACACTGTTAGAAGTGTAAAGTTGTCAAGCAATATTGGTACTAAAGAGTAAATTCATAAAAAAACTTTTGGACATTCAGCCGTTATCACTTTATGATCCTATGGGGCACCATGCCATAGAAACGGTGTCAACTAACGTGATTATCGAGGTCATTTGGGTTATCCAGCAACTTTTTTAGCATTTTTAGTGGGTGTTAACTTGACACACAGTCAAGTAATTATCATGAGAAGAAACGGTAAAATTGAGACGTCGCTGCTTGCCCCACCGGCCAACACTCCTCTTAAATTTCCCACATGGATTCAGCCATTCCATTCAAAAGATCGAGCACACCGCAGCAGAACCACCACCAATCAGCATGGTAAGGTTTTTTAATTTTTTTCAAAAATCCCAACAATTTCGAAATATTGTATGGTAAATAAAGGGGTGGAGGTGAAGATGGATTGGGTAATGTCGAAGATTTGGTGTTAATCGGCGAATTTCTGCTTTTTTAGGCGTTCAGGAAATTTGTGGAAACTGGCCGTGTTGCCTTCATTGCCGATGGACCCAACGAGGGCAAGTTGTGCGCTATTGTCAACATTATTGATCAGAACAGGGTAAGTTTCAATTTGTTTATTAATTGAAAATCAATATCTGATATCAGTAAAATTGTAGTAGGATATATAAGGATATTTGGGAGAATGTATGATGATCCAATTATAGGAATTGCCGGCTGATCGAAATATGAAGCCAACTCCTATACTGATTTTTTAAATTCTAGAATGATTACATGTTTGAGAAGCTATTCATTAGTAGATAAAACAGGACGTGAATAGCGTAGTTAAGTGTTTGAATGTTAAGATGGTTTAAATTAGAAAGGAATCAGTATTATGCACAAAACATTCAATATAATGTAATAATGAGATTTGTTTTATTTATAAAAGGTTTTGGTTGATGGACCTCTGACCGGGATTACTCGCCAAGAAATGAGTTTGAAGAAACTCCATCTTACAACTTTAGGCGTCAAGTTTCCTTGGACCGCCCCGACTAGAGTTGTTCGAAAAGCGTGGATCGCTGAAAAGATAGATGAAAAATGGAAAGCTTCGAGGTGGGCTCAACGTGTCGCAGCTCGTAAAATCGTAAGTTATCTCGAGTATAATCATTTTATATTTTACTCCAAACTGTCAGATTTTGATTTTATATAGCTCATAGTGGTAGCATTTTTTATAGTAGCACAGCCTATTCTTGAAATGATGATCCAACTTATAGGAATTGCCGGCTGATCGAAATATGAAGCCAACTCCTATACTGATTCATTTAAATTCATCTTCGAATCCTTCATTGCGTTTTACCTCAAATATGTGAAAGTTTTTTTAACTATTTCTTCTTATCTTTGCTTTCCAGAGACAAAATCTTACTGATTTCGAGCGATTTAAGCTGAACTCTGCAAGGCGGACTAGAAACAAGCTGCGAAGGAACGTATACTTGTCTCTCCTGACAAAGACGAAGAAGAGCACCGGTGGGATCTTGAAGCCACGTAAATCCAGGAATGGAAAGAAGAAGGCTGGAGCGAGAAAGAAGTAATTCCATTCTACGACTCTTCTGTTATAAAATTTGTATTGAAAGCTGAATAAAAATTATTCACCAATTCAAACCACTTTGACTTGATTGATTAATTGATGATGGCATCCTTGTTGTACTACAACTAAATAAGTGTATACCATAGAGTTGCATATGTAATTTAATAATTTATTTATAAATATGCATTACAGTGGCATGATAATTGACTTACTCTTGTCATTTCGTGGCGGCATAGATACCTGTCTCAAACTATTTTATCGGGCGTTCTCGGGCCATAGATTCTTGGAGCGGGTGGACAACTTTTTAAGTCAATATGATGTAAATAGTGGCGGTGTTTCTTTTCTTCGCGGAACTGAAAAAATAAATCCTGGCACGACTGAAATTTTTGATTTAATTGAATTGTATATTAGAATTTAGTTATTTACAAAGTGGTGTGGTACACATCAACATGTCCAACATTTTGGCTGAAGTGATTCAAACGCGAGGTGAGAATTTGGTAGCATATTGATAATCACTTACAAGGATACATAAGCTAATAAATATTTCACATGCAGACGCTGTGACTGGGGACGAGTTTCGTGACCATTTGCAGAATGTGACCTCCAAGTTGTCCCAGATCAAAATGGATTTGGTCGACTCTCTGCAATCTACGTTTGTCATTTACGACTCTGACATTGACAAAGTCACGTCATGGTATGTTGAAATTCTGGGGATTAAGGAAAAAGTGGAGGATTTGAAAACAAAGTTTCATGATGATGTGAGGAAAATAATTTGTTTATTAAATATTAAGCATGTTGATCAAATGTTGAAGATAATTATATATCTAGAAAAAAGCACTAATAGCGGCTACGGGCGACATTGACCTGCTTAACGATGATTTGAAACAGTGCGATAAAGGAATTGAACTTCTTGCAGCGCTAATCCAAGTGGTCAAAAATTTGGAGAGAGCTGACCCAGTCGATTTTTACAAAGTAATTTCACCAAAGTAGAAATGGCATATTGTAACGACAGATTTTGTAGAAACCACAATTTATTATTTGTATTGTTTTACTTTTATAGGCATCTAAACTTGTAAATTCTGCAAAGCAAGATTTCGAATTACTACGAGGATCGTTTGAATCCATTGAAGACCATGCGTGGGTTGTAGGAATCAAATCAAAAATTACTGACCTTATTACCGATATTTATGAAAATGCTTCAAAGGAACTTCGCTCAGTCTTTCATTTTCATTTTGGAAAAAATATGTTAACGATAAATTTGACACGAGACATAAACCAACTGATTGAGACATTTATCAATATTGGATACTGCTCTCGGGTCATAAACAAATTGGCTATAGACATTTGGCAAGAACTCCTCGTAAAGGCGTGTTCACAAGATTTTTACATAGAAATTACGGGTAAACCAAAAAATGCATCTGCTGGGATTGCTTTCCAAGATACAAATGGTGACGGATATGAAATTGAAACCGTTCCCGTGAGAGACACAGGTTTCAAAACTGGCCCGAATATAACTTGTGATAATTCACGTATGATAACCATCAAAGCTGTCAGAACGTCAACCCCTACTTCGGAAGTGCAAGTTGTTTTCAACAATATTCACAGCGTGATATATGTTTTCCATCAAATATTTGAGAATAATGTTAGTTTTTTCTTAGCTTTTTATCTTTTCTTCATTATTTAGGTTTAATTAATGCAATTCTCTATGTCAAATTTGTATTCTTTAGACTGGTGTGATGAGCGATTGTTCTACATTTCTTGGTCCGAAAATTTGTGAAGAGTTAGGAAACAAGACTTTAAAAATTCTTGTGTTGCGAAACGCCGAAGGGGACGTGGAAAAAGCGAAAAATAATATTTCAATAATTAGAAACTTTATTAACAATTTTGAATCATATTTAAGTAAGAAGTATAAAAACCATAAAGATTTTAGGATACAACAAACTAAATCTTGCAATAACAAACTCGATTACAGATTTCACATTTCCTGACGGTACAATTTTTGATGAGATGGAGCGAGACTTTGATTCCTTATTCTTGGGCCAAGTTAAGCAGGATTTGTTGGCAAAAGTTCGACGTCTTGTCAAAGGAAACTTACACGACACGCAAGAAATCATTTGGGATGTAAGAGAAAAATAATAAGTGTCGCAGTGCATCATGTATCTACATGCTTGACCAATGTACATAGTAAAATTGTGGTCATAGGCAAAGGATGCATCGCCAGTTGCTGACGACATCGGTGGCCTTCATCGCAATCCTTATGCTTTCCCCAATTGTGTTGTAAGGTATGGTCCATTCATTATTTCTTTTTGTAGAAATAAAATAAGGCGTGAGGACCCTATATCGTAATTATATATGTAGTAAATGTGTTGTGGAAATCGTGCACGTGTTGAAGGAACACCTAAGACGATATAGTGATGACATTCTTATGTGTGATGCTGCATTCAGCTTGTACCTGTCCTTAGTAAAGATTCCAAAACATGAATCAGATTCGGGAGACTTAGTGCCGTTCTCTGCGGGTATGCAACAAGCAAAAGTGGGCCACCAGTTGATACGATATAATACTCATTCGACATTTTTTTCTTCTCCAACATTACAGTTCTTGTCCACAACAACAGTCACTATTTAGCGCACCACGCTACGTTCACATTTCCAATGACTGAGGAAAAAGTCCCCGAATTGCGTTCTAAAGCCACTCAAGCCTACTCTTTCATGGTTCGCTCTGTTCGAACAAAATTGAATTTTTTGATCTCTGATGCGATGACTGCAATCCTTAACAATGACGATGGTAATAATTTCAATTGCTTGTGTTTTACTATTTTTTGCTATCTCATGCATTTACATTTTCTTGTATTTATTTAATTTGTGTAACTTTTTTCAGAGTCTTCTCATACAGAAATTGATAAATTCCTCAAAATTTCATCCGAGTTTGTGCGTTTACATGGAATGCTTCAATTCGTTCTTCCTTCTGCAACCTTGGCACGAACGTTGGCCACATTGGTTGATCACACTGTGAATGAAATGTGCTCAAAAGTTCTTACTTGGGATGACATATCTGCTGCATGTGCCAATAAGTTAGCTACTGCCTTTACGCAGTTTGCTGTGGAGACCTCGGAATTATTTAAGGTAATTATTTAGTAACCAGAAACTTTGTCTTGAAGGGTTATGCAATATTCGGTAATTACGACAGGGAGAAGCCACAAATCCCAGAGAAATAGACGCCCTGGCTTCTAAATGTGTTTCAAAGTGGAACAGATTTAGGCTACTTACCTTCGTTTTGACAGCATCCATGAAGGAAATTGAGGACAAGTAATCACCTATTTTCATTGGAGTGTAGTGCCATGATTAAATAAGACAATGTATGCATTTTTACAGGTGGGTTGGAGGTTGTGGGCCTCTGTCTATGGAGTTTAAAGCTGAAGAGTTGCGGAAGTTGGTCAGGGCATTATTCCAAAATACTGATCGACGAGCTGTATTCCTTGCATCCATAAAATGAATACATTTTTCTGGAGTTCCCAATTACTATTACGTAGTTTACCCGCTTAAATTAGACTATTATTTTATTCTCGTAATCAAAAGTATGAAATAATATTTTTACAAAGTTAGGGTATGCAAATATGCAGGTTGAGTATTTGTTCGTCATTTCATTTTATTTTATCGTATTGAAGATTGATTCAACGTCATCATTGTTAATAAATTGGCAATTATATATTTAGACAATAAAAAATCAACAGTGAAGATCGAAGATGATGATGTACAATAATGATACATTCATGGAACAGGAAATATAACAAGGCTTATATATTATATACATAATTTTATATAATCTGAGAATCCGATACGTCGTCGTAAATTAAACTGCAATTTTTATACATATAAATCACTTAAATATATTGACTTTTCTATTTAACTATAAAATGGTTTGTGCAGCTTCAGCTAATAGCAGATTGTTCGAGATTCTTTATAAGTTCATTGTCAATATCGCGAATATAATCTCAATAGTTCAGTGAACGGCCCATGTTTTTCTCTCGTAGACACTCCTTGCGTTTATAAATGTTTTATTATATACGGAAACTCCATTTAAAACTTTATTCATAATAGTCACCACATAAATACGACTCTCGTTGTTGCAGGTAAATGCTGCCCTTGTATTTGTGTGACGAATCGTAAATTACGATTCGTAATATCATATGCGAGGTTAGCTATCAAACTGTACATGCACATTAATCCTACTATCTAGTACTAATAATAATCAATCTTTTTCATCCACTTGTTATACACAGTTGTGTATCTGTACCACCTTCATTTCTGTTATCACTGCATTCACTCATTACTCTCTCAACAATAGTAACAATAGGTATATCACAAGTGGGGGTATTTGTCTGAAAAATATGATGGAGGGTAGTCAAACGCACTGGAGTCCCAATTTTTCGGACCTCGCAGCACTCAACTTGAATGAACTTGAATTTATTACACAAAGTGGTAGCACGAAGAGTAATATAGTAATAGCTGCTTGGCAGTTGGCGTACAAATTTAATATCTTTGATGAAATGCGTCTTGCCAGACTTGAGTAATCCTCCGTAGCAGAAATTAGTCGGTTGATGACATGAGGTGTTGTGGAATTAATCAAACTCGAACTTCTGGAGGTAGTCATCTTGGTCACAGATCGCAAACACGAGGTCATTGGAGTCGGGTGTGGCAGACACGCAAAATCCAGGCTTGTCTTGACTCTGTATCAACTCGTCCTTGTTGAAGTACCACTTGCTGGCTTGGTCACAGCTTTGAAATACGACTGGGGCTCCAATGAAGAGGGAGGCAGGCATTGACAGACAAATATCATCATGCTGAATCTGACCTTCTTTGGTGAGTGACCAATCCTGCGAATAATGTAAAGAAGGGCATAAGTAAATACCCCAGTTATAATATACGTATATACTTATCAGGGGATTAGATTTATGTAAGCGAATTCAACAAGTGTGCATGATGACGATCAAGGATAAAACATCAACAACACATTGTATTCTTCGTGCAACATGGTTCTAAAGTTCAAATGAATATGTAGTTCTTTGAGCTTGTGCTGTTTCCTTTATAATAAATTACTATCGAGATTTGAGACCGGCTCATTTTTGGCAATGAATCCTGCATCAATAAAAAACTTGCCCCTGTTGATCATTGCGACCAGTTAGTTGTTGAATACAAACATATAAGTTGTTGAAATCATTTCTAAGTATTTTGCAAGTTGATAACATGGCTAGTGAACGGGGAAAATGAGACGTTTATAGCAAACCACACCCACCTGGTTGCCTCCTGCTCCATGACACTGAAAGACTTGGGCAGGTTCTGCTGTGCGGTACACTGATTTTCCCATTGTGTCGATACACCGATGACCTTGTTGAATCGACCCCTGACGCACAACCATCAGCTGCGGAACCTTGAGATCTGGGTACACGTTCTTCAAGTACCATTTGAAAGGCTTGCATTGAAGTCTTTCTCTAATCGCCATCCGATCATCGATGCTGAAAATTGAGCAAATTGGTATTTTTTAGTTCCCCACGTATGTAATTATTGGTGAAAGGAGATTAGGCTGAAGAAGTACATGATAATAAAGGCTCTTGCATAATTGTCTGTCTTATTACCTGCCGAACGGCACAGCTTTTGCAAGTGGCACTTTGGCGTAGTACAACTCTTTATATCCGTCCATCCACACTTCTGCGGCTCTCCGAGTATTTTTAGCAAAAACTGCCCCCGAACCCCCTGGGAATGAGTATGGGTGTTGTTTCCTATACGAAGAAAATTGTCAGTTGAAAGAAACTTTCACAAACTAACGATAAGTAGCTATTTATGTAAGTAATAATCCACCTGAAGACATGTCCTACTCTCGAGCATGGCACAATTTCTAATGTTCCACCGCACTGCCAGACTCGGAAACTAATTTCTGGGATATAATTAGGAAATCAATGAGTATCTCCAGCCTAGACATGTTTTTCCGAGATTTAATTCTTACCCAAGTTCTCACCACCCCAGATGTCCATTTGAACGTCATATTTCCCGAGTTCATTAAAGTACTCCCGATTTATAGAAAAGAGACCACCCGCAATAATTGGCGTCCTAAGTAAATAATAATAATTACCATCCAAATGACGTTCTGCATTTTTATGACAGTCATTGTAAATATGAGACATGATTTAACAGTAAATTAATCCCAATATCACCATGCAGCTTACCGAATGATCCTCGTGGGATCTACAAATAAGTGAGACAAGTATAAATAAATGTTGGCACTTAATCATTTACTTAATTGTAATGTTGCAAACCTTTGGCAAAATCTCGACGATCAGGAGGACTGAGGTACTCCCATTTGAACACAAGATTCCACTCAAACCCTCCTCGAAGCTCGGCGGAAGCAGCGACGTATCGGAAGTCATCCATGTTTATTACATCAATTACGGGGCTAACCACATGGGTGCGATTCTATTACGTGTAATTTAAAATTTTAATCTTGTGCCTAAATTCTTAACATCAAATTGTCAAATAAAATCCATCAATCAGGTCCAACAACTTATTCGGAAAAGCGTCTAAATTATTCAGAAATGGTACCGTCAACTATTGCAAGTCAACCATATAGGTAACAGGCTAGCGTTACAAACGTGTTTTTTTTCATTCCTAAATAATCATGCAGGGAGTGATTTTTGATTGATTGCATGTTTATCAAACCATGAAAAACTAGTTCGCTCAAATTTTCTAAAATTGTTTGCTAGCTGTTTCATAGCTTTTGTGTCACACACGACGGAGTTCGATAACCGGATTTTAAAAGTGTCACTCACATGACTGACTAGATTCAACAGTGGTTCCAACCATCCCGTATTGCATTCACAATGGCTGTCCAGAAAGGTTAAGATCGGAGCGGATGCCGCATCTGCACCTTTCACCCTGCTTCTCATCAAACCTGAAAAGCAATAAAATACATCCTTAAATAAATGAGCACTATTTATTGAACCATGTTCATATGTTGCACACAAAAAAAACAAGATTGCTTGCCGAGCTTCGTTTTCGCATCTCACCATCAATCAGGATTTAACTCTTCTAAATCCGGAATGATTTTTTAACGTAAATTAATTTAATTACGACACAGTTCAACACACTCTCCTCCAAAATAGTTTCTAACAGCAATCTGGGTGGGTCAGCAATAAATATGTGTATGCAACTCGTTTTAGGATTTTCTGGTTCAATGCATACATGGTCATTTTGCACATGCAATGCAATGTGCCATTACATAATGCGTTAAATAAGTGTTGCCTTACGACTTCTTCATCTATAATCATAAAACCCAAAAGTAAAAGAAATTGCCGTGGGTAAAATGTGCTCCAATTTCTTTTAAAGAAAATTGACATGTCACACGGAATATCAGTCACGATAGGTTTTATGCATTTATCACAAACCGGATTGCTCGACATTGCCGAAAGCATCATCCATCCACGTATGACGTAAATACATAGTTTCAATCCACATCAGAATATGGACGATGTGTAACATTTCAATCAACCCGTCGATAAATTGTTGTTGATCAAATTTCTTGTCAATGAGACTGATAATCCTGCTTATTTAGAAGGATTAGTGAAAGATGCACCAAACTGGATTTTGCCAACCCAAGAAAACAACAACCGATGGATTGACCTTATCCACGATTCATAACCATCCATTAATCCTCCTACGAAAAATGAAATTGGACATCAGCGGCTTCTTGCAGATTAATCCAAGAATTACCATAACCCATTCTGACAAGATTTATGTGTATCGAATTCAAATCAACCTACATGACAGGAATTCGGTTATTTAAGAAAATTGGAGCTATTAAGCAATTTTATATCGACATTAATTACAGAGCGGAAATTATGAGGCTCTACGTGACATAAGGATGATTTAGTTGCCAATTGGATGGTTTGGTTGGTCATATGTATGCAAGGCTTTGAAATCTTAATCCTGCAAAATTCATATCATACGAATGATATCGACTTTAGATATGCAGATTGACTATTAAGTACTAAGTAATTTCAAAATTGGAAATTTAACCATTCCGGATGAGTATAATTGCTGAAATTTTAAGAAAAAGGAAAGGATCCAGAATATATTTAAGTATGTATATTATTCGCAAGAGTCTAACTGCACATATTTAATAATAAATCCAAACCATCGTCAAAGTTATCCGCAATTACGACGTGTATAAAACTTCTCTATTATTGAGTGCACTCTTAATTCTCAGTTGAAATACGAATTAAAGAATAGCTCTTTGTTAGTCTCACTCGAGGTGAGATGAAAAATGTAATAATTTTGTTGTGAAATGGTTCTAGAATGCAAACTTTGATATTTAAATTCTACAGCTTTAAAGAATTGTATTAAGCTCAACACCATGACCAACCACTTCGCTTCGGGGACAGGAGACGCAAAAATATCCGTGATAAAATTAAGTGGACATGGTTGGTGACCAAATTAAGCTGCATTCTTAACTCCGTGGGTACTCTATCTCATTGTTATTCATTATATTTAATTAACTGCATGTGGTGAAATTCCGAATGCTTAACAGGAATAACGCTCAATTTCTCAGTCTCAATAACGTGACACAAATATGAAAAGAGAAAGAAAACTGAATTTTCAACTCACCTTCTCGCTTATCATTTCGAAGAACTTTGACTTTGTGAATTTTATCTAAAAGAGATCCATCTTGGGCTGAAAAAAGGAGAGAGAAAAAAATTAATTGGTGTATCGTCCCAATTCGAATTTATATCGCATTAAGCTCACGATTTGGAGACGCGTCATCGACGAGGATGATTTCTTCAATTAGCTCTGCAGGACTTCTGTTCAGAACTGAAACAATTGTCCGGAGGAGCGTTGATCTTGCCTCATTGTGAAAAGTTATTATTACGGAAGTTGGCTGCAGGCTGGACACATCGTACTCCTTTGGCCGACACCTGAAAAATTGCAATTATTAATATTCCGCTAGCGATCATCTCCTTTTCCTCGTGTTTTGACAGCCCCATTAGCCATATCACCAAATATCTCTGGTTGCATGCGTACAATGCACTTGTTGATAAAACAATGAACCAACTTTCCTCTTATTTTATCTTGAATGTGCTCTCCCCTCCAAGTCCGCAAGAGGTCACAAATAAATTTTCTTTATTATGAACACAAGATACTTGATTCTTATCATGGAAAGCGCTCATTGACTGACATACGGAACAGCATTGAGATTTGGCTGATAGAAATCGAATAAAATAGAGGTCATAATATAATATATGCAATATTCGGTTTAGCCAGAGTAACGTGTACGACATGAACATGAAGTACCGTGCACAAATATCCAACTCTCCTATTTTCGGTTGGACATAGACATCTGCAGAAACTGATGTACTTTCACATTTAACACTTGACTTTTCTCAAAACCATGATATCAGTGTCAAGCAACTTGCAATCGTGACCAGCATCCCAACATTAGGAATTTGTTTGCCCCGACGCCATAAACCAGCAGACAACTGCCAACTTCTTGGCAAGAATTCGCAAGCACCCATGTCCCGATATCTCATCCTAATTTGATATGGTAATCACTTATTCTAGTGAGTGAGCCCCATATCAAGAAGATTGCCATCTTCGTCGGGACTATAAGCTACCCACCAACCAAACATCATTGATTTGCACTAATCTTCTTCATCATCCACCGATCAATATGAATTCAGGTGGCGTTTAAGTATTTTATTGGTCACAAACAACTTTGAGGCAATGAGATGTAGATGTATGCATCTTGCACTTATAATTAAGCAACCTGTTGCTGTTCAAAACTGATTGACTGGTTGTCACCTATGCAGTCATCCACTGACATGATATGCAGATTAATTTCCACCGGGGGTTACTCGTTAATGATGTGCCAAATATGACTTGACTTACATGGCGTTCCAATAATAAAGTACAAATAAAGTACTAGTAGTATTATTAGCAACTTTTAACATATGGGGCAATTCGAACCATGTGAACTGTGTTTGTGCGCTAAACAGCAACAAACACTGACGTTTGGTGAAGTAGTACATACTAGTCACATGGTTCGAATTAAAATTATATTTGAAGCAAAACAAATTCCTAGTCAGGGTTATCGGTGCTAGTTTTCAAAATGTCACGGCGGTTTGTTTTGCGGGATGGTAAAATGCAGGAAGAATTATTGGACGAAAACAACGTTGGTACAGGTAAGTACATTCCCGTTGTAAGAAAATATTGTAAATAAATTATAATTAAATATCTAACTATTGGTTTTTTTTCCAGGAAGGGAACAAGTACATATACAAGTACAGGCTATTGTTCAAGTCAGAGATTTGAGGGAAAGACTGTATAAGGAGGTGTGCTCGTATGTAAGTATCACAGCCACAAATAATATCATTATGTAATGTCCTACTTCAATTTCAAATAGTAAATTTGTATGTTTAAATAAATCCAGACAGGTTCATATGAACACATTTCGAGAGACGATTTAAGCGACCGAGATTTCATCTTCAAGGTACAAGAAGGGGACGATGGCAAATTGCGTGCTGTAGAAATCACGAAAGACGAGGTCATGGAAATGTCTGGTTAGTAGTAACACAAGTAAACTGTAGTAAACATTGTTGAGCTTTTAAAGTTTCCATTTTTTTAGCTGACACGGTTGATTTACATTCTATGACCGCTCTACTCTGGCGTGACCCCCATCGCAGGATTCGAGAGATAACATTTGGTGTGTCGGTGTACAGTGATCCTCTCATAGCCGCAAATAATGCTATACAATATGCGTATTCAAGTGATTGTTCCATTTTGTAAGTATTGTTGATAAACTTAAAAATCTATTACACGTATATATAATGCAAGTATGTAAATGTGTACATTTATTTGTAGGGACATAATTGACCCGAGTTTCACTGCCGTTAAGACTGATCATGTGATTTTCCCTATATATGCTATAAATTATAAATCAGCCATGGGTCTCAAACAATTTCGAAGACAACAAGATGGAAGTCCTGGATCATTTAAAAGCAAAGCGACAGTCGCAGTATTTCAAGACATTGCTCCGCAAATGAACCAGATAATTGAGTAAGAAAATAACAATTTATAATAAATGAAATTGGTGCGTTGGACGTAAATATACGAGTATGGTTTCCAATTTGTTTTTCAGTAAAAATTTGAATGGGTTACTCACACGTGTTGACAAGGAAAAAGAAGAAGAGTTGGTGGTGACGATTGTTCCCAAAAGGGGATCATCAAAGGCCCAACCCCTTAACCGGTATAGATGCAAAGTGAATGGTTGTTCATTTACTACCTCCAAAACATGGAACTTCACAACGTAATTGACGTCTTATGTTTCTCAAAAGCCATGCAATATAGAGGATAATTTAATTTGTTTGTCTAGTCATGAAAACACTCACACAAAAGAGGTATCGTTCCAGTGCCCAGGGTGTCCCGCAAGATTCACAACCAAAGCAACTATGGTAAGACATCAGCCTATCTGCCCCGCAAGAACGGGGAAGGCAGTAGGGAAAGTGTCTTTTGGGCCTCGACGAAGGTGAACATGATTATTATTATTTTCGCGATCACTATATTAATGTATATCCTGTAATTATACTTTTTAAATAAAGGACCTCCTCTATCAAACCTAAGACGCTCCCAACTACATCTGCCTCTGTCAGCCTCCCCCCATTTGCTAATTTGACAAATTCCTCTCTCAAACGGACCAACTTGACGGATATCCAAGGGACAATCAAATTCCCCCCCAAAAAGCTGGCGTTAAATCCTACTCGGAGTATTGTAGAAAAAAACCCCACAACCACCATCATGACCTTACAGTCTGAGAATGAAGACTTGCGCCGAGAGAAACACGTCGCCACAACCACCATCATGACCTTACAGTCTGAGAATGAAGACTTGCGCCGAGAGAAACACGTCGCCACAACCACCATCATGACCTTACAGTCTGAGAATGAAGACTTGCGCCGAGAGAAACACGTCGCCACAACCACCATCATGACCTTACAGTCTGAGAATGAAGACTTGCGCCGAGAGAAACACGTCGCCACAACCACCATCATGACCTTACAGTCTGAGAATGAAGACTTGCGCCGAGAGAAACACGTCGCCACAACCACCATCATGACCTTACAGTCTGAGAATGAAGACTTGCGCCGAGAGAAACACGTCGCCACAACCACCATCATGACCTTACAGTCTGAGAATGAAGACTTGCGCCGAGAGAAAGTGCAACTCAAAAGAGATCGAGCTTTAGCATTAAGAAAAGCAAATAATAGTACAAATAATACTGATTACAGACGGTAAAATCACTAGGTGCAGATTCCTTAAGAAAAGAAAGTACGAAAAGACCATACGTTTTTAACCATTTTCAACCACATGTACAACGAATATATGTAAGACGACAACAATGCCATATACATTACAAATTAACTGTGTTGTTCTCACAACTGGTTCCTCGTGTCGGGAATATCTCTGTCAAGGGGCAGATTGTCAGAGGCCAATTGGTTAAACTGAAAATGTGAAAACAGGAAAATTAGCATGAAATGTGTGCATGCTGAATCAATCAGTGCAGACAGAGTTTGGGTCCAAGATGGCAAAATTAACTTTCTTGATTCGTATGTACCTTGGTTTTCCCATACGCGTCTTGACCCTCTGTCACTCTGTCACCCGAGAGATAAGCCTCCTTATCAAAGAGTTCGAAAGGGTCAACGACTGCCCCAGTTCTGGGAGGGCGATGGGGGTCAGTGTAAGTGTTGGCTTGAGAGTGTGTCATCCATGTGTCCTTCCTGCGTGAAGAGTCCATCACAACGTCATATTTTGACTTAGAGGAATAAGTACTGGTACTCGTGGTGCTGCTCCCCACGCCCAACGGTCCTGCCGCCACATCTGGAATACAAAATCAATAATAATAACCTCAGTTGCATATGTTTGGAATGAAAAACAAGAGTGGAATTGAAGTGATTTAAAGAGATATACGTATATAAATAGAGGCAGAATGTGAGCATACATAACATAAGTATGCAAGCCATCAGGTCATTTACAAAAGTTACTCTCAAATCGTGTATATAAATTGGGAGGCCTTGCCTTCATACTGCTTAATCATTATGCTGCGTATTCTGAGATACTGCATACACAAATAAGTACATTTGTAGGCTGGGTGGTAGTCCATTAATCACGCATTAATTAAATGTGCTCATCAATCTAATCAAAAAATGTGACTCACCATAAATTCACAAACTCGACTTCTTGCTCAGAGAGAACTTGTAGAATTTTGTAATCGCAAAAAACAAACAACTTCAAACCTTGTTTCTGGTCATATAATCCAAAAAATTCAGCCTAATCTGCATTTCATTGACCATCCATACATACACTCTCTCAGGAATGGTATGGTAGCTAAATCGCCGAGAAGACCCACAACACAAGAACCTATTTGTCTTGCATAATGCATATGTGGAGTGGATAAGTAGCCTATTTAATTGCCTTGTAATTAAGTACTGGTTACAGAGAGAGTCTTATATGCGAGTTCAGTTGTCTTGTACGTTTTTTTTTGTAAAAGTTGAAACGAAAAGTAGAATTTTTGCATATTTTGGACGGGTTCGATATGACAAATAAATTTTACACTTGGGCACAATAACACATCAACCGTTTACCGTTTCTTGCAGATAAGTAATATAATTTGGATGTTTAATCTCTCGAGCGCAAAAATCATTAATCTGTATTGCGGGGATCATCATCATCATTTGAAGGACTATATATTTACAAATAAATGCATGGCTGGTGATGTTGGTGCATGGTTCAACCCGACGCTACTTGAGAAGCCGTGTAATTTATTGTAATTGCTTTGTTGTGTTGGCCAGAAGGGCCAACTTCTCAACATTAATGCCGGGTGAATTATGTGATAAAAAATTTATCTGGTTTTCAAATAATCAACATGCATGATGAATAATTTCTAATAAAAATACTGCATTAAAACCTATAGTTTTCTCTTTTATCACAATTTACATAGTGCAGAATCGTTCCAAAGATTGCATTTAATTTCAAGTTTAAAAGCCAAATATCTACAATTTACTCTTTAATTTAATTTATGATGTAAGTCCTAATTGTGGACATTCTGGTACGAGTTGCATGCAAATAATACATACAAACTGACCACACAACCAAACTTACAAAACTCAAATGGAAATTAAGTTATTTGTGCCGACTGCCGAGTGTACGTGGACTCGGTGATGGAGATAACACGTCTTAATTTTTTGTGTTTGGTGTTTGTGCAATGATTACTTAATTTTAAAAAGTCAGTAAATTTTAAGACTTGAAATCAAGATGCCACATTTTCAAAGGACAATGTTTTATTCGACCTCAGGAAGTACGTCGTTTCAATTTATTTCGTGTTACGTACACATAAGTTCATGCGTTATTACCTGTATCACTAACTAAAATTTTACAAAATTGGGATTACATCAATGACTCACCTCTATATCGCAAAGAGTTGGAACTATGTTCTCGCTCACTCGTATGCTGAAGTCCGACGCCACCAAAGTTAACGTTTGAAATAGCTTCGGACGATCCTGCAGTGTCCCCTCCTCCCAACAAGGACTCTGCCACGCTCTCCTGAAATTTAAATCAACACATGAATTATGTATATTTTTTGGGTTTGGAATTTAGTAAATTAATCATTTCAGCTAATTCGTGTCGCCAAATAAATTCCTATGCAAACACGTAGATACATGCATTCTTGTAAATTTGTCAGTTTTGAGAACACAGAAACAACTCGAAGCATAAGAACTCTAAGCTCTGCTTTGTACGTGCAGATAACTATGTGAATACCTACATATTCCCATCAATTTCAATTAAACCAAAGTTGTAAACACGCATCCATAACATATTTTCTCATCTATTTCAATTTGTAAAATCTGTTGGAGTTGGATAACTATTTGGAAGTGGCCAAGCCAAAGGCATGCATGTCGTCGAGTTGCAGTTGCTGAGGCCAAATAAACTGGTCCAACACAACTTTTACGGCCAAGCCAGTGCAATAAATTACATCCAAACTGATTCCCACCAACCCACCCACTCACTCCATTTTCCCCTTCAATTTGTCCATTGCATTTGTGTTACAACATTCCAATTCACAAAATGCTGTACAGAGAGGAGGCGGTGATGGGAAATGGAATGAGTTCTACGGATGGCGATCCATTATCATGTAAATTGCAAAACTGTACACGAGTCTTTTGTTCTTAATATTTTTAAACCAGATTTTTTCACTCTATGGCAGAAACGGTGTGATGTTTTTTTATGAAGTGAAGCAACTTCCGCTACTGATTTATTGTAATGACGACGATTACAAGTCCCATTAACATGCGAAACATTAGCCACCAACGGTGATGAACTTGATACTTGACTCATGATTGTTATTCTGAAAAAAATTATAATACATGTACGTACATCTCACACGAGGACCGGACCGGACGCAGTGGACACAATACAATTTGCAATTTAACAAAGACTCGAGCCAAATAATGTAGAAATTGTTATTCTGCGTAAAAGGACAAGAATGCAAACAGAATTGGACATGGATTAATTCAACTTGTCCAACAAAATCATTTTATTCTACAACCCACGATATAATCGTGTCAAAGTGAGGTACAAATGCAAAAATAATCATGGGGATAAAATAGTTTTGCAACCTGTCAATGTCAAAATAATTAAACGAATAAAGCTGATCAAATGGAAAACTCATATTAAAGTTTAATTTCCTTTCATTCTTTTCATTTGCATGTACATTTCATATATTTTTGCCATTTTTTTACAGCTCTACAGTCATGAGTTTATTAAATTTGCGAAGTTCAAGTTACTGTAGGTTTTTTAGTGAGCAATATATTTATCTTGTAGCTTTGATTTATGTACACACAAAAAGTCGCAAAACTGAGAATTGGATGATCAACCGATAAAAGTCAATCCGTTCCTGTGCTAACCCAAATCAGCATTACAAGCATCTAATTGAAAGGAACGAATTTATGATTCTCTAGCAAATTCAAAAACGAGCAAAAACTTGAACGATGAAATTTTTAGGTGGCTTTTACGAGTTGGGAAACAAGTATGTACAACTTTCATAAAATCTGGTTGAACATTGGCCAGAAGCTGACGAAGGTCCAATTCTCATTGCTTCACATTATCCACATTCAAACAATGGGATGACGAGATTGCTTCGTTGAAGAAGATGATGAACAAAGGAACACGTCCTCAACATTGGGGATGATTGTGGCAGCAGCAGCGACAGCGACGCTCTATTGACAGGACTGACCACTTATCCAAGAATAAGAACTCGACGTCATAGAGCCCAAGATTAGACAGAGGACGACTGCGAATCCTCTTCTGCTTGCTGCTGCGACCACAACTCATCTTTTCTCAATTTATTTTCGCATTATTCATCTCCCATCATTTTCATCTTTGAAGCATTATTCTGTTTCCTTCAACATCCATCTTGGGGAATTTTCCAAAGGATGTCAATGTTTGCCTCATCAAAATATCCACAAACGACGAGTGTTTCACAAGTACACACCAAGAATAATTATAGATTTGTGGACTTTCATAACAAGCATTTCATTCTCTGTGGTCATTATCATTACATTTCTTGAATAATGTGGATGATTTCGATATGAATTTCGTAAATCTTGCATCTTGTGGGGGAGCAGATAATTTGATATAATTTTACAAGTCGTAAATATATCTTTGAATCTGCATAATTCTCTTTATAAAAAAATTGCCCATTCAATTCAAGCCCCAAAAAAAGCACTGTTTCTCTACATACATTGACGTAATAAACTCATTAAAAATCGATTCGACTGGGTCAATAATCATCTTTATCTTTTTAAGAATAATTGACCTGTGATTCGTGTTCAGAGGTAATCAAGAGGCAAATCTTCCCCACACCTCATCCGAGTGATCGCACAGCCTTTTGGTAAAGTGCATCTCTTTCTTTTAAAAATGCAGTCGAAGCCGTCTGTGCATGTAACAACAAAGAGAGGTCAATGCAACAGTGGAGAAACAAATGCAAGCTGCACTGTACGTCAAATCTGAAAAAAGTTGTCCCCGTGATGACCATCATCCGTTTCTTTGGTGCAACTAAGTATGTACACGTCCCACTTCTCATTCCCAGCTACAAGTCATAAAAGCACCTCTCACAGTTCCACTGCTACAGAAATCTTTACGTTAAATATCCTAATAATGCATCTCTCGGCTCAAAGCAAAACTGGTTTTATTTTAGAAAAATAGCAGGCTCTCCTGAGGTCACAGTAATTCTCCATCGGGCGTTCACCAAATACTCAAATGTTTGAAATGTTGACAGAATCATCTGCGTCTGCTGCATTTCTTAATATTTTGAAGGTTGATGTGCTATCCTTGAGGAAAAATGTGAAGTGGTCAGTTTCTCAATTTTGCCTTCAAAATATTATTCCACTGAGATACATGATGACCCAAATGATTGGCTTTGTTCGTGGTGAAATTTATTGTCATTCGACCCTGAAATCATGTAAAGGCATGCTGCTTTTGTAGGGAGACGGTTTAACTCCTCAACCGTAGATCTGTATGTAAAGCACTGCGTTGGACTCGTCATCAAATCCACTCAAATGAATGCTCAAACATGAATATTCTCATTATTTTCTGTATGCCTTCTCTCCACTCAGAGACTATTTTTGTATCACCAACTTGCCCTCGTCCACCTCACTGACTTTGGTTCAAACATCCCCAACTTTCATCCCAAAATTCTAAAACTACAATTTCTCACAATTTCGCTTCAAGTGTAATAATATTTAACTGTAATTGGATCATGAGACTATGACTTATTATGAGTAATAGAAGAGGATGACGCCTGTGAGTGAAAGTGTGTAATCCATAATTGAGGTAGCAAATGAGGTGGTGGTAATTAATGTTGCTTTGTTTCCTTCTCGCACCCACACAATAGTATCGAATTGAAAGCCTGTCTGTGAGAGGAAATACTTAAAAAGTCCTCGTCAAAAGTATAGCAAATGCAACTGAGAGGCGCAGAGGCAATTGTTGCAAATTCTTTATCAACCCGACAATGGCAAGTTGAATTAATAACAAAGTGCGCTTATTGATCGGTGCATATTATTAATTCTCAATCAGAATTAGCGGTTTGTTTCAAAATCTAAAATTACTGTCCCTCTGAACAACAAGAAACGACCTGCTCAATTACTTCCATTGCTAGCGCACATTCAAATGAGGCGTTGTTGGTCTTTCAGAAAACTATTAAAATATAATTGAGAGTTTAGAGAGAATAAGTTCCGCACATCTTCTCATTTATTAGCGTTCATTATGCAACACTCCGACAGTTGGCTGCTAATCGTGTGTCATAACATACAGATGAAATGACTCTGCATTGTCAGCAGATGATGATGCTATTTATTTGCATCCATGTATAGCAACTTCCGCACGCACACAATTTTATCATGTGTGCAATCTGCTGGTTCTCTTTTATAATCAATAATCAGTGTACATAGTACATGCACATTATGCATGCATTGTAAATAGTATGCACATGCACATTTATGTATGAGCATGCGTGTATAGAAATTGCAAATTTGCAAACAATATTTTTGTAACAAGTGTCATATTTTAGTGCCTGCATCTCCCAAAGTCAAAAGGAAACCGTGGGGGTTTAAAGATAGGGACGTGTAAACATATGTAATCCTTAATTGGAGCAGATGTAAATAAATACTCAGATTGGTCACTCAATTGAATTCCTTATTGCATTTTGGAGATAAATTCGGCATGTGCACTAATTGGCAGACAGAGGACAGTTGAATTAGTTGTCCTAATTTTTTCACAAGCGATTGTAAACCAACAGAACTTTGGGTTTTTATATGTAACATATTTTTCAGAGAGGAGGAGGGCGATTTGGTCAGACGACGTCAATTCTACTCTACCATCACCGGTACTTCCATTGTTGGTCGAAATACATAAAGTATGTATACGCAACAAATAGATTATAATCAAGTACATTTATTTGCCAACGAAATATCCGGGTGGCATGTTTTTTATTATTTCATTTGTATCGCAGCCAACTATTTCGCACTGTGAATCTGCTTCAAATTTGACAAAAACTGACTGACAACAACTAGAACCAGATTTTGAGATTAGCATTACTGTGAACCGTTCGTTAGTGAGTATGTAGTGTAGCATTTAGTATGAGGTCCGCCACTCCGTTATGCCTTTCCTCCGCTCCTGCTTATTAAGCCCAATATATTTTATTAGCTTATGTAATGTGCAATTTTACAATGAATGATTAATGTCCAAACCCCACACTTATGTTCGCATATCACATAAAATTATGCCAAAATATAGCAAATTTGCATGACAATAAACCATCAACGGGATCTTTGAAAATATGTGGCAGCTACTATTGTATTGAGAAGTAGTGGAGGTCCTTAATTATTGCAATGGAAGCAAAATTAGAAAACTGACCTGCGTACAAGTAATAAGCACGCAGGGAGTCACTCGATTGCGATTAAAGATCAAATGTAGATAAACGCCACCCAGAGTTATTGCTTTTCCGTTGTTTGATTTGGGTCACTTAATTGATGTTCGAGTTTTATTGTTGTGTATTTACATACACATTTTTTAATTGAATTCATGTGTAGTATAGATACATATGCATCTACATACTAGGCGTTTAGTTTTAATGAAAATTTGCTTGACCGGATTCGTTCAACGCTGTGTGAATTCCTTCCGGGCGTAATTCATGTGGGAATGGTGATCACTGGTGATGGAAAAATAATGTCGTGGAAATTGGGTGTTTCTAGTTCGGAGAGGATATGGAAGTTGCAGCCCAATCTAATTTACATATTCCAATTCTTCCCTCACGAATGACCACATTAACAACAAATTCCTCTATTCTGCTGCTGACCAACTTCGTTGATACCTGGCTTCCAAAGTTCCAAGCATGCCAACTGCGTACATGTACGAAAGATGTAATTATACCTTGGGAATTCAACCACCTGGTTGCGTTGACTGTAGGGCACATGTTAGAGCATTATAATCTCATTAAGTTCAAATTAAGGACAATTTGAGACCCAACATTTGAAAATTTCACATAATGTAATGCAGGAAGTGAATCCTGATTTATGACTGTTTTGATTTTCAAAGGGCTTCGTTTTGTCATGTATCTTGTTGTATTTAGCATCAAAATGAATATTATGTATTCATTCAACCATTTTTTTAACACAATGATTTGACAATTCTTAATGTCATCCACATGTAATATCCACATCCACATTGACGACAATTAAACTGGCCCTGTGTATCTGAACTTGTGCCAGGTCGATTTTTTTCAAGTTTTCAGGGATTGACAGCTTCCTATTTCGTCCAGTAATATAAAATAATACTTTTTTTCTCTGTATTGGCCTATGGGTATTTTATCTTCCAAACTAAATTAGCAGGCAGCACAATTGTTTTTCCATTGAAATGAGATCTACCATTACATATCGCATTGGAGACCAGCGTAAGTTGTGTAGCCAGTCAATTTGCTCTATTATTACGGGAATGATGGTGCAGTTAATATGGTTTTGTGGCTCGTTGTGATGATTGAATATCAATTTCCTTGCTCATCAAATTCAACTCTCAGCACTACAGGGAAAGTTATCTACGTAGTTGCACGTTCGATTTCATATTATCGACAACTCACGTTTTTGTTCTACTCACTCAATTTTACGCTGTGAAAAATGACATGAGAAAATTCGAATTGGGTGCAACAATTGATGTGCAAACTAGTTGAAGATTGGAAATACTTAAATGCGTCATCTCATTCATTTTAAAGACACTTTGTGGCTTTAGGTATTTTGTGAGATAAGAGTCGAACAAGAAGTAGGCGAGAAGAAGACGACTGTGAAGTAATCGCTGCTGTTCAAAGATGATAAAGTAGTTTGATTGATGTGAACTCGATAACTTTGTATGCCTCGACTGCTCCACCAATTGTTGTAATAATAATGACGACGAAATGTTGGTTGACAGCTCGAATTTTTCAAAATATTCTTTGTGGTATTGTTGTGCAGTAGCTAGAGCAAGGTTTCATTCAACTTTTGAACAGACAGAATATCGAGTGATACCGAGACGTACCATAAAATCTGTCCAACAATATCTTCCACATAAACAGATAAATCATCCTCGTGACTTTTACCACAGTTCTTTTTTCGTGCGGAAATTGTCCCACACAATTAAAGATTTTAATAGAGTTCACTCACTTTCAAAGAAGCACTGATTTTATTAATCATCCAATTTTTAAGGGAAGTACTTTGTTCAGTGAGCTTTGATATCATCACCTAGAGAATTGCCCCATTGAATTATTTCTCATATTTTGAAAATTGCTTTGAAAGTGAAAGTCGAAGAGCTATCATCCTCAATGAGGATTCCTCATTGCCTTCAATTATGTAGTCAGTCGTACAACTCACTTGGTGCATGCTCACTTGAACATTGAGTGGATAATTATTATGAATTTTAAACGTTTGATAATTACGCGTTTCAATTATAAAAACAAAGCGTTTAACCAAGTTTAAAATTCAGTTCAACTTTAATATTGAAATTTAGTTTTATGAGGAATTAAGAACCTGTTCCAAACCAGGAAAGGGTGGTCGTGGGATTCTTAATAACTATTGCCTAAGTCAACAATAGGAATATGTAGGAGGACCAAACAAGTATATAAAAATCTTGTTCAATTCAATTCTAATCATTCAACAATTCATCCTAATCAGCTAAACTATACTGCCAATGAGTTTATGCAAAACCCATTTTGCCATGAACAAGACAACCGTTTAAGGTTTAATGGCTTTGTGTTTTTGCAAAGTTCATTACAAGACGAAGGTTAGAACCAGACAACAAAAACTTTGGATAACCATGCTCACATTGATTGTAATATGACTAATGAGTAACAAAGAACTGTGACGGCAATTGGGTAAGACTAAGCGTAAGTTAATAGTTAATCCCTCTTCGCAGCAGGTTAAATAAATCAGATAGGAAAATAAATAATAAATACCTTGTTGAAATTCCCTTGGGAATCTTCTCGATTGGTGTTTCTCGTACTTGTGGTGAAGTACAGCACGCCACACAACCATATCACAGCAATCAGCACAAACACTTTGGTGTTCCGTTTTAGCATCATTTTTGAAGGTGGTGTTGTTGGTGGTTATTTAGAATTGGCCACGCTCACCTGCAGAAAAAGAGGGGGAACAATTATTATTTAGCATGTACGGTCAATTGTATTTAGTAGAACAATAAATTTAAATAAATGTAGATCATCTTCAAACAAAATTCACAATACAAATTGCCCTAATTGGCATATAAGAAAGTTTGACAAAGTTATGCAACCGAGCTGTTCGCACGATAAACATTATGAAATATTTGCAGATAGCTGGTTAGCGAACCACGAATGGTGAAGATGAAAATTATTTTTATAAGATTCCAAGGTCTCTCTCCTTTTGGTATAAGCAATAAGCAGGTTGACATAATTCAAAGTTTTGCAATCAAACCTAGAATCCTTACTCGTATAAATAAATACTTTTACGTAGATGTACAGGTATTCACGCAAATTACATAAACCACAATCATGACCTGTTCTTGCTGATTATCATTTCGCATTAAAAAGACAACTTTTACATTACAAAGTTACAATTAGACTTTGGCGTCTGTTATGACTGGGATAGAAATCTTGTTTCCTTCACCATCCTCCTCCCTCGTACACGGCATCATTACTCTTGAGCGTTGTATAAAAATGTGCACAACAATTTACAATGGACATGTGCCCACTTTCGTTTAATTTAAATTCAACTCGTAATGAATTCGCAATGCAAATATTCTTCGAGGCGCATCTTTGACAACCACAATGAATTGAAGAACTGATTTGACAATGCAATATGAGAGCGACTGGCTGGCTGAATAATCAAGGAAGAGCAAAAGTCATGCCAAAAGTCAAACGCTGCTTGAAAGTTGACCATACACACAGATCGCCTCACCACCCATAGAATATTTTCATCATTTTCATCAATACTTTGGCGCACTTAATTTGTTACCATTCACTTCGTGAAAATGACTCACTCTTTTGTGCAGAAAAATAGATTATGGGTGCAGTGAAACCAAACCACACTACTCGCTGTACACAGTAACCAATTTATTTCAGTAGTTGGTAGTGGGCAAACTCAAATATAGATATTTTTTGCATAATATCCATGCATGCATTCATATTACGTATGTATGGCAGGAGGAAGTTCTGTGGTTATTTTGATAGCATGTGTATTGCGAGTCCATTAGAATTTATCAGTCTGTCTGCTTCTGCAATCTATCAGCACTCTCAAATGTTGCGAATTCTTTAAACATGTTTAGCGTGAGTGATGAGCTTTGCCAGACGCGGCTGCATGAGAATTTCTTAAGAACACAAGTCAAGAACTAAATACGTATGTGTTATGATACGAAATTCCTACTTAATGGTCAATTTAATCATGTGTGTAAGAAGAATCTTCTCATACTGCTCATCAACACTCATGTCTGGTGGACTCTTCACTTTTGGTTTTTAGCTTTTAGCAAAGTTAAAAGATTATTCATTTTTTAGCCAGCGGCACAGGCTTGCTTTACCACTTGGTGAAGAGCACGATATAAATTAATTCAATGTTGATGTGTTAGCTTAAAATTTACAAACCATGTGCAAGGAATGGGGAAATGAGGAAGTATTAGATTTCTGTTAAAAAGTGGCACGATTTACTCATGTCTGTGGACTATTCTACATTTTTCGCAATGAATCATATATGTACGATAGAGTTGAAGTGGGTAATAATTGTTTAAATAATAATTACTCTAATTATCTTCCAAATTTAATGTTGGATTTGAGGCGGTCTTACTTAAAATTCATTTAAATGAAACCCTCTCACTTTTGACTTGCAATTTCGAACAAAAACAAGGGCAGCAAAATAAGAATCAGCAAACCTTCATGGGTAATTTTAAGTGCAAGAGCTATGAAATGAATGGTGACAAAAAAACAGTCTCGATACGAATCTCAATTAGTGCATTTATATGGTGCGACAAAGGCATTCGTCCCTTTGACTAAATATCTGGCTAAATACCTGTAACACAAAAGCAACGTGGGAAGTTACAACAATGCGTCAATAAAACACGTCATGCTAATGAATACTATGACGTTTTGCATAGTTCCCAATTTGATCTCGTTTGTATATTACGCAACAGGTTGCGTGTATCTAAATTTATACAATCTCTTCGATTTTATCACAGTAACCAATTTAAAAAAATATGAAATCTAGAAGCGCTACACCAGTACAGACGCCGAAAGGCTCGAAAATTGAGAAATTTTGAAACTATCCATCTCAATTTATTTTTTTTAATGGTTCATGTGTTGTATGAAATAAACTATGAGGGAATGTATGTATCAGCATGAAATTCAACCTTTCCACCTCTAACAATACGATAAAGCATTATAATAATCGTGTGGAAAATAAATAAGTGTCCCAAAGAAGTTACTTTAAAACCTCGAAATAAATTATAAAGTTATCCCACCCACCTCAAAGTTAAAAATGGGAAATAGTATGGGTGCAGTTATATAATTGCAAAGATACCAAGCCAGCGAAGACAATTGTGCCGTGCACCCCAAATTCATTATTCGTATTATCATGACCGTTGTTTAGTCGAGAGCTGTATATTTATTTGCCCACCGAAACGCAAGTGGTGATGATGATGAGTGGTGGGTAAAAAAATCTGCATAATCATCATCATAATGAAATCTAGGAAGGACAGTGAACAACTTGATCGTTTTCGGTCCTATGCCTTCGTATGACAACGAAAATAGTTTCAGCGGACGACACGCCCATGTATCATCATCATACATGTAATATTCAATCGCCTATTGTGTTATGATGATACGCTTATTTATGCAGTGTTACTGCTTACTATTAGTTAGCGAAAATTACAAAGGTAGACACTGAAACCTGTCTGATTTATATGTTATCTCCAATTTGGTCCATTACATAAATAACGAAATGACGATAATGATATTCAAGTGGCATATGTATTTATCTCGTATTTGTTTAGAGATGTTCCTCTCCCGTTTTTCTAGGCAATAAATAAGTTTTCGACAAAAACGACACACAATTGCTTTGATTTGACTTATTAGCTTATTCATGTTAATGCCCTCATCAATCCTTGTCGAAACAGAGTATTTGTTCAAAGGTAACAATACTAATACAATTAGAAAACAATGAACTCCAATACGGTCAGCAAAACCAAGCATTCATAAAAGAACATTTTTATTTCAAATTCGTTACGAAAACCTTACACTGCTTTGTTACATTTCTGTAACGGTATTTTCTAATCAGATGTACATACATACTGACTGACTCCATGTACTTGACCCCCTGTTCATTCTTTTTTAGTCATGCAAATAATAGATTAAGCCTGTATGACACCGGCGCTATAAGTATTTACATTATACGTTATGTCATTATTAAGGTGTGGGCACAAACAACACATTGCGGTAATAATCTAAAAAAAAGATTTCGAGGAAGTGGATATGATTACTGGTTCCATCAACTTTTGCATATCATTAATTACAAATGCACGTATGTATTTTTAGTGGCTGAATATCTATACGTCAATAGTTGGCAAATTAGAAAATGAGTTTTTTTGTGCAATTCTTTACTAGATATTTTATATTATTGCATCTAATATGAAAATCAAATACAATCGTATTTGGAATTCTGAATCTCTTCGTGAATTGTTATAAATATATCAGTTTCGCAAACTGGAAACCATGTCGAACGCGGTGCAGAAAGTACGAGTGACCCAAAATCGCAAGATACAACGAAGGAATGATCAGGATGTGATGTTGGTTCAATAAAGGTTTGAGAATAATTGACCGTGAAAACATCGTGGTTCCTGCAATGCAACTCGCAATTTATAAATGCATTTTCATTGTTGAGCGATAAGCCAACTGCAAACAAACGGCACTCGCTTCAACGCTTGAATCTCCGGCTTCCACGCTTCGTGATCTCGATTGCGAAACTGCTTGAGTTGTAAAAGATCCAAATTACGATCTGAGACTATGTCCATCCGCAACCAACAAGACGAGGCAATCCAAATACTGCAGTACGTATTATGCATAACTTTGCGTAACGGGTATTGAAATTGGGTACCACATTACTTACTACGAGACAAGGATAAGTTGGTGTATGTACGTCAACTGATATAGTAAAAAGGTTAGCGGGTGAGGTTGTACGTCATCATCGCATTCATGCTAAATTCTTTAAAACCTGATTTTATTTGTCTCTAGCAATAAAAGAAATCACATTTCAAATTAAATTCGTCAATGAGACTAGTATCAAACACAAAATCCGCAATTATCGGCATTTACCTTCTGTAATTTGGCATATGAAGAGATTAGAATGTATGTATGAAATTATTAGCGTTTCCCCAAATTGCAAAAAAATCGAATATATAATAGTGCTGTTTATTTAATTTGAATGCGAGTCACGTGTAAGTGAGGAATTTTTAACAAATTTGAGTGTGGAACCAAAATAAAAATACTGTCAATCTCCAACAAGAGTGTAATTAGAATTAAGCAAGCTACGAAAATTTTATTTATACGAAATTTTGGTTGGAACTTCCAACTTGGAAGACAACAATTATTGGTGGATTATTATGGTTGTTTTGATTATTGTAATCATCAATTAGACTAATCCCACCAAATAATAATTGGATAAGTGTTTAATTATTATATTACTTCATATTATTAACGTAATAATGTCCATTATTCCAAAAAGTTATTATACTCCACTTAGCAGTACAAATTAAGGTTGGATGCCGCTGTCGATAAAGTGACAAAATGATAATATAGCTACAATAATACTCACTTTGTCCTCATGTCACGACAGCTCCATTCAATTCATGTGCTAAAACTGGGTCAATATCTGCACCCACTCAAGGTCGTTGGTGGTGTAATTTTAGTAAGATTTTCAATCAGTAATTAACTCCATCCATAAGTTTCATTCAATAATCACCACCTTCTTTTATTAGTTTATATACGTCTTATTTTCTGTCCAAATTACCACAATCTGCATTTAGTCCGGCTCCTTACATACATTATTATTGGCATTTGTTTGGCTAGTGTACACTACACAGTCGCCGGAAATTGTTAAATGAATTGTTTGGCTCTAAAACTGTACGTAACAAGTTGATCATATAACTGATTCAACCAAACAATTAAAGTGCTTAAGCACTTGTAAATATATAGGTTTCACAACTCATCAACGGCACAACACTTGCGAGGTGAATTTTACAATCAATTAAACTCACAAACAAAATACACCGTGTTTGATCGAAATTTTGGACAAATTAAATGCCTAATACAAAATCTCAGAATTTTATTATTGTCTATTTGTTTTACGTATGTAATGTATTTGAGTTTTTAAGTGATCAAATAATTTCTTCAACTTGATTTCCCCAAGGTCGTTAAAGATGATTTCGTGCAGGCCTACAACTATATGTTCCGCTATGAAAATGCTGGAAGCGTTTAACAGGGTTCGTTCCGGAGATGGACCCACCCACACCGCACAATTTTCAATCAAGTTGTTACTGGAAGTTTGAATTGCACTTTTCGCAATTAAGTGGAGCGTGAAAGATCAAGTTTGGCAATGATTTTCTTTCTTCGTGATTTCTTTGTGGAGGCGAATCGACTGCACTGCAGTCCATACGAGTCGAGACTAAAGCGACGGCGCATGTTGGGATACACTTTCATGCAACCACGCATAATAACACTCGCATAGCCTCTCGTATAGCGATAATAAGAATTGTGTGTACCGTCATTCCGCTCTGATCTGCCCATCGTCACACAAGTCACCTCTTTTATATTGCTAATACGACGCTGGGACACCTTTCAGAACATTATCACTTGGTCATTACAAATGCTGGGATCATGAAATATCTAAATGATGCTACTTTTCAGGAATGAAGTGCAGGTTGCACCCTCCTTCCTTGATAATGTTGTTAATTCATGTATTACTCCTGCACCCATGCAGGTTGTGGGCTTATTTGTATGCAATACCAAAGTATTTATGATATGTGCATCGAAACATTGCGAATTTTATGCAAAAATTAATAATTCACAACCTGTATGCATTTCACAATACTTCATGACTCTGCATCACGATCAAATGTAATTTCTCCCCATGCGCCTATCTACATACTCCAAGTTTATTTTCTGGTATAAAACATAATTTATTGAACAGTCGACCAAGAACTTTAGTGACCTGTGTATATCCTTTACTACCAGTAAAACCGGTAGAATGTGAGGTCCGGAGCGCTTAAAATTTGCACTTTGAAGTCTTTAAATAAAGAATTTCCGTGTATGATATTTGTAGACGATGCATCTAATAAATCTTTCAGGCCATGATTTTTGTAAAGATGAAAATAAGCTTGAATTAGAGATTTGTGAAAACACCTTCTCCTTATTAAAATTTGTATTGAAAATGACAACGAAAAATTTTCATAAGTATGCAGACGGTTTTCACCAGTCTCTAACTCAAACATCGTTTAGAAAATTGACCTGAAAGATTTATTAGGTGCATCGTCTACGAATATCGTGAATGCCTTATTTAAATACTTTAAAGTGTTCCGGACCAGATTCACGTGTTAGCGTTTGCGGACTTTGTTGAATTTTAAACACGCAAAATAAAATTCCGTTATTAAGAGAAATAATGCAACATTATCCTACACATTGAAATCGTGAACTGAAGATTCACATTAATTCAACTTACTTATATGTAAAGGGTAAATAAAATCAACGTGGTACATGTGAAATTGTAGAAAAGTACAAACGCCTATTTGCTATTTATTGAAACGTAACGTCGCATTATGCTAACAACTAATACATTAACTAAATTCGCACCAATACAAGGAACACATTCGTGAGATCAAAAATCATAAATAACTTCGTGTATATATGGAATGCAGTGGCTGGTTTTTGGAATCCGAAAGTTCCTGGGGAGCTTATTTTGCCAATATCCAATGCAAATGAAGTTCGTCTGCAAATTTCACAAATCAGAATATAAAAACATGTTTACAATATTATTTGTTATTTGTTTGAGTTAAATGTAAGTGCATATTATTTGAAGATCTACTTACATTCACAAATCTCGGGTTTACTCCAATGACACAGCCAGAGTCCAGAGTCTTGCTCCAAGAGTCGCAGCAATTGAAGTGGAATCGACATCGAATGCTTGCTGTGGGGCTGAAGGCCTTCTCGAAATCCGGAAGGAATCGCTGAATAAATGTGAACAAATGCTGATCCACGTGCACTTTGCTGTGAAACTCTTCCGATAAGTGCTTCATGTACCACAAGCTGACCAGCTTGTCAGCACCTACGGAAAAACAAAATGCACAGCGTGTCATTAATTATTTGTCATTAATTACAGATATTTGTCAGCGTGTCACTAATTATTTCAAGTCTGTTCTGAAGAGTTTCTGTTTTGCATGTTAAAAAACACTCACCGGAAGTCACAATTTTGAAATGCTGATATTTATCCGGCTGCAAGGCCTCCCTAATGTCCTCAAGAACGGCTGAAAATGACTTTGTGAGTTCAACGGCCGATGGGGGCAGGTCCAAGTACGATGATGACGATGACGATGACGACGATGACGATAATGACATTGATGACAATGACGATGTGAATTGTGAATCAGAGGTGTCTGATTCATATGAGGAGGATGCCTCGTTGGGTTGAAATTCTTTGAAAATTTTCGGGAAACCTGGACAAGGTTTACCCACGTTGTACTTTCCGCTACTGATGATATCGTCTAGAATACTGGTGCCCATGTGAGTACATCGAACAGTGGTCTCGTCAGCCTTCTTGATTTCAAACTCAAACCTGAAAAGTAAGAAAAATGTCGATTAATTAGTAATTTTATGTACGAATGCTTATGTACATACATACATACATATTTCCCAATAATTATTAAGTTACATATATTTGGCAGTTAAGTTATATTTGGCAACTTACATCTGGGTTACTCGTCCGTGTCGCATGTGTGTCACATTTAAAGATCTGCAGGTGGTTACGGTTTGTGTGACGGGTGAGAGGGGAACGTCCACGGCGACATTTTTCTGGAGAACGATGATTCGCTCCATGTCCTTCAACTTTCTCAGGAGAAAGTTGCTCTGAAACGTCTCGTTCCACGGAGCCTCGTAAAATAGAACCCCGAACATTAGCTCGCTGACGTAAAGTTTCCAGCATGGAGCGCTCCGAAGGCAGCTGAAAAACTTGCTGTTCTTCATGTCTGAGAAGATCCCTGCAATTACAAGATCATTTGCAGAACTATTAGTTTTTTTGCAATTATTCATACATTTCTTCCTGAGACTTTACATTCCCATTTATTTGGTAAAATATCGTGTCAATAGCATAAATGTTATCCTACATAAATGAGTACAGAAATCTTCTGCAGTACTTACTTTCAGACGCTTGAGTGAGAAAAAAGATGCTCTGGTCATTTACGTCCGGGAGTGTTTCCGGTTCGAAGGAGTTGATGCTGACATTGGGAATGCAATCAACATTGTCGATGTCAATTCCAGACGTGTCCATTTCTGACTCTCCAATTTCTCCCTCAAATTGGGACTCGTGTTGTAAATCAACTTCCATGATATTTAGTTTAATATGTAACTTCCAAATACGACACGTTTTGTCTCTCAATAGTTTTTTTACTGTGTATTTTCAAACAGTGATTTAATTATCTAAACACTGATAATGATTTAACTCAAAACTAAAATTGTTCTACAATAAGTTACAACTGATAATAAACTGCACGTTATGTTTGAGCTTAGGCAATGGAATCGCAGTGGATTTGGTGTAGTTCAGGGTGTATTTGACTGATAAATTATGTGTCAAGTGGGTTTGCTTGGGGTGATTAGAATTGCAGTTGTTATCTCTGTAAAGGTCAACAATGAAATGAAGTCAACAATTAGCTGGACTAAGCTTTTATGGGAACAGTAATGAGTAAGTACGTTAGGTTGACAGCTTCGAATAAGGATGTATTTATGGACAGAGCCAACTGAGAAAAATATATATGTTACTGTTTGTCTTTGGGACCGAATTAGACATTCAAGCCAAATTTCGACGAACTCATATCACAGAAAAAAGGAATTGAAATCTATTTTCAGTGCAGGTTCCAGCGAGAGGTTCGAGGCAAGTGCGGGTTCAGGTAGCCTGCCTTTGTAATGTGTCCCAGGAAAAATCGGAAATTTTAATCTCTCCACAAGCACAACAACTTGTAGAAGAAAGGAGGGGTTTTAATCCGGGAAAGGATTACACAGGTTCTCATGGTCACAAAAAAGTTCCACTGCTTGAAAAATTTCACGGAAACAATATAGTTGCACTGTCCTCGTAGTTTCTGGAATCTAAAATTATAAACAGCAAGGAATATGATTTATTGTACATATGTATGTACATATCTGACTCGGCTGGCTAGAAGTCTGGAAAATTACTATGATTCACTGAATTTGTATTAGTTGCTGACCATGCTGGAAATTTGGGCAGTTGGAGAGCTAGTAAAATATGCCATTCATTCAGCCATTCCTTTATTCGCAGTTAATTTCAATAACTGCTTAAATCACTGTTCAGATTACTAATGAGTTCCACCATGAACACATTCTGCATCAAAATATTTTACTTGGCGATTGTAATATTTGCAATGTGATAAGCCATTTAATGATTAATATATGTTATAGGATTGTTTATTCAGATTGTCGAATATACTCCTATTTAAATACATGTGTGTTCAGGGCAAGGGTTGATGGACCCTGCTTATGATACAAAACCAAACTTTATGATCTTTCTTTGATATACAGTACGCATAAGTATTTAAATGAAAGGAGCCTTTTCTTAGATTACACAGTATTCGCAAGTAAATACTTTTATTAGGTTATCTAATCTAGTATATGCCAACCACTACTAAATATTCGGAGTGACAAGGAACATTTTTAGCATGGTCCACATTCTTCAGTCAAACCAACTATTTATTACTGATCTTGGCATTTCAAAAGTCAATTTATACCGTAGTTATGAATTAATCAAATGTGAGATCAAAATCTGATCAAATTCTGTCCACAAGTTTTTACGTATTCCATTAATTTCATAAGTGAACACCCACACATTATCATCCAAATTTTCCATGTTTCTAGTTATGCACACTATCAAAAGTTTTGAAACCTGGCATGAAAACTTCTTAATTACACACATCCACTTGATAATATGCATAACAGCATAAACGAACATCAAATTAAGGCTGCCTGGGAGCCAGGCACAAAAATAATTTCTTAAAAATGATGTTTAGGCCTCATTTTTGGACAGAATGGAAAACGGATCGGTAATTCTGTGGAGAAACCCAGTCCCCACAAAATTACCGATCCGTTTTCCATTCTCTCCAAAAATGAGCCCTAAACATCATTTTTAAGAAATTCACTCTCCCAGGCACGGTTAAGGCAGATCTAAGGCAATATTACTTATGCCCGTCATTCGGTACAATCTGCACGTACGTATTTCAGTAGGTAACTTAACTCGTAACTTCTTTTTGATTAATTTGAACTTTGGATTTGTCAATCTGTTTCTAAAAGAAAGTATTTTTTCGTTTCTTGAATTTTCACGCTTATCAGGCGTGGACAGTCAACCAGACAGACAGACAGACGATGGGGATATGTGATCCTCATCGATATCGACTTATTAGATTGTAATTGAGAAGTAATAAAAACTGTCCTTCCTCCTGCATAATAACTTTGTCATGCAATACGGATGTATCGCAGCACCGTACGATTTTACTGCACGGAAACTTTCAACTCGATATGGCAATTATATGCATGTGCATGTGCAGACATACGTAATATTAGGTACAGCCATACTTAATTGTCAATCGTAATGAGAGCACAACCTTGGAACTTGATATTCTAACCGACTTGTAATTGCATGCTTGTAAAAATGATTGCATCATAATGGGATGATTCCTTTTATTTTTATAACCTGCTGCATGTCACGGGTATTGCAACGTGGCATCTCAATTATGCAGGGAAATATCAACATTTGCATCACTTTCTATTGATAGCCAACTACAGGGAGATGGACCTTGTGATCGAATACCTGACGCCAATAGTAAGATGAAAAACAATGAAGGTGAAACTCTTGCCAATTGCGACTGTGGCAGACTGAATAATAATCTTTCTATTTCTGGTTTAAGTGTTTTGTGGGTGGCATTTTGTTAGCATGATTCCAATTAAAAATCAAGGTTAGTATGAAATCCATCCTCCCGATTCGGCTCTGACAATGAGATCAAGATTAGAAATAATCAAGAGTGGAATATAAAACTAATTCGGGATACAGTTATGAATCTTGGGAATTTTTTCGCAATTTCTTGGAGAATATTGACTGATAATGACCTCGAGTCTAAAGGTCATAAATCTATAGAGGGTGACACGTGCTCAATTTTACAGGCAGGTTAATAACTATATAAATTCAACAATCGGGTTGAAAAAATTGTCTTGCATAACTGAGTGCATAGTTTAAAAATAACTAACAAATTACAAAAAACCTACTTAATAAAGAATTAAAAGTAGAGATGTTTCAGCAAATATATTATTTAACAAGTAATCTAGAAGATTACGATTCAAACTCGTGCAATAAGAAAGGCATACGTACTTTTTACTCGTGGGTTGGATTTCATCCATCTCTCCCACCCTGTAATTTTTATTATTATAACGTGCTTATTATAGCACCGAAAGCGAGTTTGTTGGACTATCTCCGTATTTGTTATTCTGCGTGGAAGAAGATGGAAAAGACGACAGATTGAGTCAACGTGAATTGGGCACAGCGCAGAGAATGCATATGAATTGCTTTCTCCCGTGTACCTGTTGCACGACGAGGCTGAATCAGTGCCATGTATAAATTCACCAACATCTTCCTCCCGACGCCAATCAAGCGTCAGACTCCTTTCTCCACTTTCTCATCTTGAGACGGCTCCATTTCGTCTCAATTTCCATTCACCACAACCACACACACACCAAGCAGAACCACTTTTCGCATTTTCCCCACTTCTCAATATTCCTCTTCAATAACGAATAAAAATTCTACGCCATGTCGAAAACCATCATTTTGTCTTTCGTAGCTTTCACACTGGGTAAAAATATATTGGATTACGAAAATAAATAAATTTTTTAAACGCCAAAATTTCACCAAAATCTATCATCACTAATAATATAATAATTTGTAATTATTATTTGTAATTTGTCCTTGCAGAATTCCTTCTCCAGGAGTGCAGTTCTAGAGCGATTTACAATCCTGGGACGGTGTCTGAGACGGAGGTGACACATTTTGAATTTATTCAACGACTTGGAAATCCGTGTGGAATTGTGAGACTGGAACAAGCATCTCCAAATTCTGAATATCACTCAAGTTATTACGTCGATGACTCCTCGAATAATACTCTTTTTTACCAATCAATGGTCCAACTCGTGGATGCAGGGCTGGAGAAAATGAGACTGCTTCAAAACCCTGAACAGGTATGGGTGTTGTTCTTTGTAGCTTTTTTTAGCTTTTCTCAACCAACAAGTACACACGGGACTTTCTTTGATGCATTTTCTTGCGGGAGCCAACACTCAAGGGGGTAATTGGCCAGCCCCCGCTTTCCATTTTAGCATCAAGGAGAAAGTACAAGAAACCTTTCATATATAGCCCTTGAAAACATATGCAGCCAAATGAACGAAGACGTGTAAACTGATAATTAAGTAGTTCGCATAATTTGCTTGCTTTCAGAGTCTGCCCCAATGTGCTGGGATTAATTTGGATACTTTGCCAACAACCCCCACCTTCACATCTCTAAATGTAAGTGCCCTATAGATTTTGCGGTTACATACGTACACGTACCTGAAGTATTTTAAGAGTTATCCAACTTTTTAATCGAGTTGGTTCAAAACTTATTAAAACTTTGAGATGAGAAAAGTCAGATCACGGTGTATAGATTGCCGACGACATTTTATTATTAACACAGCCAATTGACGTAGATATTTTCTGTGCATGCACCTCTGGGCATCAACATACGGATAAATAGTTTATATAGCTTACAGTTTGTTGACACGTTGGACTACCTATTTATTCATCTATATGCATCACTTTTATTGTCGCTATATGTATCCGACAAGAGTGTGTAGTGAACCAGAGTTGTACACTTTGACCATATAAACTCCCCCACAATGTAACCTTAAATCCATGCATTCAGAAATCTGGAGCAGTTATTGTATGATATGAATTTGTTTTCTTTGAGTGAAAGCAATTCCAACCTCTCTGTATCCCAATTCTATTCATCAACTCAATTATTCCCAGCATCACCACGCAATAACCGTCAATTATCCAATCACCCAATTCATGACTAGAATTAAATTACAAACTCTTAAAATAACGCCAACTTCTCCTTTTGCTTCCTCCAATTTAAAAGGACGATCAACTCTTCCGGGACATTTACAATAGCGGAATCTTTCTCGCGGCCCACCTTCACATTATGGGAATGGATCGGCAACTCACGGTTGTGGGCGTTAATGAGGTCTCGGATGACAACATTGATGAGACGGATGGGCTCCCTTCCTGGCGATACCTACGATGGTTAGAAACCTGGATAATTTCTTGCAAATTCCAATTGTTTCACCTCCGCCACATTGTTAATTGATTGTCATATTGTATCCCTTTCAGTGGAAATGAGTCGGGAGCATTCATGCTGAGGTTGGCTGAGATGACTTTGCAAATGGAAAACATTCTGTGTACCGTGGTCAACTCGGCGACAGTGGTAAGACTCTGATTCAACAGTTTTGCAGCAATAGTACAAATGTAGTTAATTCGTGTTGTCCAATGTTCATCTTTTCAAATGCCCTTTATTTGAGTGAATATTGGATTTATATGCACGTAGGGCTGTTGTTTTAGAAATAGAGGCAGGAACTGTTGTAATATGTATAATCAAACTGAAAATCCTCCATGTTTTTGTACTTGTTTTCAGGCGCAAAGGGCAACATTCCGCGAATCTTTCAACAAGTTGGTGTCGACGACCTTTTTCCGCTACCACTCGTCCTGCTCCACCCTCCAGACCAGAGATTGCCTCGTCATGAAGGAGACCAGAGACACACTCAACGCCATGTCTGCAAAGTTCAACTCAATGACGAAAAACTCAAATAGCTCAAACGAATCCAATGACATCTAAGGCAGCCAGACTCAATCTCAACAATTTGCTTCGCGTTTAATAATAATTGCAAATTTAGACAATATTATTACCAAAAAATCATTATGGGTTTCCGCTTTGCTTCAACATACTCACTGGAGAAGAAGACTGTCTAACTTTATACTCTAGTCATTCATCGTACCGATAGTTAATTCTAGCTTCAATTGTAAGGACTGCCAATCTACTTACTATCATAATTATGATCCAAACATAAAATTGTGCACCCACAAATTATCATCATTTATTACATAGGGAAACTTTTTTAAATAATTTTGGTTTTTATTAATGATATTAAATACTAATTAAGAGATTTTAATTTATTGACAATTTGACATGCTCCAATACCGTGTTAAAGACTTATTTTTTAAATGACATTTACTGTAACATGTTATGTGCGTGTGATTGCTTATTTAGGCTTGAAAAAAGAATTATCACTTATGTATGAAGTTATGGACATCGTATAAAGTAGCATTTATATTTATAAGCTTGAAAATAATTGCTATTTACGAAATAAATAAAGAAATAATTATCAATTTCCATTAAACACATTTACAGATATTTACAAAGTCTCATTTATTCTACGGAAAATTAAAACTGGATTTGGGGTGGAAAGGAATATTCTCATTTTTCCCAAAGATGCGACGCGACGGGAAGGTGAGACGCTGGAGTTGCAGAGGAAATAAGGTCCAATTGGGGCATCTCTGCACTCAAGGAGCAAACCACCTCGGTCTCCATTTGGCCGAAAACGACAGAGGGCTCCATCAACACTACTTTCGAAATCTCGTCTCGCCAAAGTCACTCCACTGAAATTCAATTGTATTCTTTCTACCCTTAGATTTTTAAGCGCATATGAAATGAGTAATCTTATCATACTCCAGGTCAATCAGACAATCACTGCACTTGCAATAAGTGCAATAATTAATTACTCATTACGAGCAATTCTTTTCTTTTCGACGCCAAACTTAGTCGAGACTTTGAGAATGGTAAAAATGTTTTATCGTACTTTTTTCTTCAATTAAAAAGCCATTAACTCTGTCAGTATACACTTTCGATATTGACACCCGAGATTACATTGATCATGTCACGTCAATTGCTAATATTTGTTAATGCCATTGTTGAAATAAGTACGTTTATGATTTAAAAAACCTACTCCAAGCAACTTTGCGGGGCCTTTTAAGATGGCATTAATACCATCTTGGTAGTTAATGGCAACACATTTGGGTGGAAAAGACCCCTACTGGCCAACTACTTGGCCGATCATGCCTATCTCCGAACTCATCCTTACTTTTGACCCGAAGATGAAGTGTGCAAAATTTCAAGTCGATAGCATGTGTTTAAAGAGAGTTATCGTGCGCACAGACGTACGCACAGACGGACGGACAGACAGACATCTTGACAAATCTATAAGGCCATCTTAAAAGGCCTAAAAACTATTGCTACTCATTCCCTATTGTTTCTAACAAATTCTGATGAAATAGAAATTAGCGTAGATCATGGAATCAGGTTGGCAAATAATCTCATTCACAATCAGTCGCTTGATGGTATCCCCTTTTGAGATAATACTTTTTGTGGCTTTCCTCGATATTTGTTATTATGTGGCACGTTCAACTTGTTGACAAGATTTTGATAAGGCACGTTTATTTTTATTTGTGTACGTTAAAGCACAATTTTTGAAGATTTTGTGAAAACAGGAATTCTCACAGATTTATTGCGTTTATCATCATTTTTGGTTGAATGACTTGAATGGGGGAACTCAATAAACGCTACTTCCATTCATCTGAAATATCTGAATACTAACCAATGTTCCACTTTAATACATTCCACAAGACTGTGAAATATATAAATTCGCCTTTGAAATACAATGCACTCATGAAAATGACACATCACTAATTCCAATTTTTGGGTGTTATTTACAAGGATTAATAAAATAAGAATATTGCACCAAAGTCCAATCTAAATCGAATCACACCAGGCACAAACCACCAAAAAATTTCAGCTTTGCAATTTCAGACTCCAGACATTTATGATTTTACTGAACGAATTTATGCCCAACATGCCACTAAACTAACTTTCAATATATGTATGACCATTGTTGTTTGTGATTGCTTGGAAGAAAACACATGCATACTTTCAAGGTACATGATTTTGATTCGAATTGAATATTTTCGATTGGATTGGATGATGATGGTGTAGAATCAAAGAATGTCATGACTTTTGACAAGCAGTGTTGTGAAACAAACAAGGAATTCCCTTGCTTTTCGTTCAGTACATACTACATATCAAAGAATTGTATGCAATGTAATAAAAATATTTTAATAAAACAAAATGATATTATGTGACTGTATCGAATCTGACCGGATTTGAACGCATGCATAAAAACGCCTTGTTCCTCTTTAGATATAAAATGCAAGACTTGGTGATATACTTGGTTGAAGAGAGAATTGTGTGGAAACAATGGAAGACACAATACAATTGTTGAAAAAGAAGAAAGAGTGGTCGGTCGAGAGAGTGGCGTTCTCCAATCGAATCAAAACCAATCCGATTAAAAAACAGTGTTCAAATGCTATGTGAACACTTTGATGAGATTTTTTTACCAACTAGTTCGAGAGGGGTAAGCAATGAATGACTTATTGAATTGACGACGAAATGTTTAGATACTACTTCGACCAACTACTTATTTCTCAACCACTACTACTACTACATACATATATCCAAACTAATAGTGTATCTTGAGTTGTGTGTAGCTTTTCATCCAACTTTTGACATGATACGTATCAAATTGAATCGAAGTCTATCTGAATCCAATCCTTAGCGGTCCCACTCAAAGGAATTGAGAAAGGAAGGCGTGTGTATTTTTCAATTCTTTTAATACGAACAAAATTGTGAAAGGGACCGGCCAAGTCTGATTCTAATTGACGTTTTCACACCTCATAACGCTGTCCAATGTCTAATCGTACTTTGTTTTAATGTGTTTGCTTGAGAGACAAAAGAAACGCCGTCTTCACTAAAAGGATGATGAGAAGGTTTCAATTGTGTCCCTTTATATGGATAAATTATTGGGAGTTGAATGCCTAAACGCCAGATTTATACTTCTATATCTTGACCATTTTTAGCCCAAACCAGGTCTTATGTAATCGTGATGTCCGTTTGTCTTTCGATAACTCTGAGTTGACCGATTGACTTGAAATTTTTACCAAATGCATATTGGACAAGGTTAGGAATCGAGTTAAGATGGGCGATCGGTCCAGTGATTGTCCGGTGGAGTCACGTATTTAGGTGGGTGAGATATTATTAGGCACCAAAATTTCAGAATTGTCGTAGAAAGCTGAAATTTGGTATAGAACTTGCTAATTAATGGCTTCTAATCTAATGGGAGAATATGAATTCAAATTGCAAACATTTTTGTCTGAAGGGACCCGAGGGGGTCACCCTACCGATTTTTAAAAATATATGGAGCTGAAATTTGGCATGACGGTTGCTTATGGGTCTTAATGGAAGAGTATACATTGGAATTGGAAAAAATTCATCTGGAAGGACTCTATCGGGTGACCCCACCGACTTTCAGAAATTAAAATGGAAAGCTGAAATTTGGACACGAGATGCTTGCTGCTTTCTCATGAAATACTATAAAGTTAAATATGAGCAAAAATTAACCAGAGGGGCACTAGGGGTGACCCATACCGATTTCTAAAAGCTGATACAATCAGCAGAAATTTAGATTGGAGTCGAAAAATACCTTACGAGTGGCGTAGAGGACTGTTGAATTTCGCAATTTTTTATATAAATATTTTTAGAATTTGGAGCCAAGTAATGCGAAGGATTGATGTTACTTGATGCAAAAATTAGTGCAAAATAGTATCACATAATTTATAATAAACTACTAACGAACATGGGTTTATTAATTAATCCTGGTTCTGGCTAAGCAAAACTGTACTAATAAGTTTAATGAGAGGAATGACAAAAGAATAAATCTGACATGACGCGCTCCTTGAAATTTGCAAATTTATTGCACAGGTCGAGTCAAGAATGATGATGGTACACGTTTTTTGATTCCGGCGGAGGGATGCATTTCAAGAAGGATCTGTAAATAAACAAGTAAAAAAAACATTGCCAATTAATTCTTACTTACTCAAGTGTACTCCATACCTCGTCGACAGTGGTGATGACCGTGGTGTCGATGGAAGAGTTGAGCCCGGTAATTCTGATGTTCGTGTTCTTGATCAAGCACTCGTACACGTTGTTATGCTCCCTGAAATTTGCAACGTCCTTTGAAGCGAATCGTACCCGTGGCGTCGCTTTGGCCAGTTGTCCACTCATGTGGACGTCATATTGCACAAGGGTCTTTGAAGCAATCTCGTTGCTTATCTGTCCTGCCGCGGTAAGGTTGTCCAAGGTGAGGCTGAGTGCTAATCCCAAGCTCAATCGGCGATACTGGTGCATAGGTTCTGGCTTTCCTGCTGGTGCGGCCTCGTCCACACCCATGCGAGTCCTTTGGACAACCATGTTACAGTAGTCCTATAAAGTACAACATGATAAAATCAATAACTTAATGGAACTACAATTAAAAACCTACTTGAAGGAACTTTGCGGGGCCTTTTAAGATGTCACTTCCTACGACTTTATTAAAACGCATTGATAAAATACACTTAGCAAATACACCTACGAGCGACTTTGGTATGTTCGTATGACATTTATTTGTATTTGTAGCATTTTATATTTTATCAATGTTGTGTAAATAAAGTATTTAATTTGGTACGGTCAACACTACTTAAATGACCCCACTGACCAACCACATGACCGATCATGCCCATCTGCGAAATCATCCTTACTTTTAGTCCAAAGTTCAAGTTTGCAAAATTTCAAGTCGATGGCTTTTGTTTGTATTTAAAGAGAGAGTTATCGTGTGTATAGACAGAAAGATATCAAGATATCTAGCCTTATAGATTTGTCAATCTTGGCAAATCTATAAGGTCTTAAAAGGCCTAAAACTTAATGGAATGTTTCCTTATCGTTCTCGAGACAAGTTTTGTCTTACAATTATTTTTTTTGAAAGCACAGATTACAATTTTTACGAGTTGAAAAATCGGCACGAGGGAAATCAGGAAAAAACCGGGGAGTTGGAGTGTTGGCCGCTCTCAGTCGTGGCTATTGTGCAACATGAGACAGACCCGTGAGTGGTTGTTTGTTGGTGTCGTGTGTGCAACTTGTACGAGTCGTTATAATGTTGCGCTTCATTGGACTTTGCCACAGCATTTGCTTTCACATCCAATTTGTTTCCACTGAAGCCAAGTCAAAAAAGAAAACTTTTCAACCCTCCTCCGACACGAATTCGAATACAAAGTGGACAAGTGCACAACAAATTGTTGTCACCACTCGGACCGAGTCCCACAAGAAAATTCAAAAAGCATCAAATTCTGAGAACTTTGTCCACTTCTTTGTTTTCTCATTTGTCAACCCAACACTAATAAACACTCCTAAATGTCCTGTAGAAAATGGTAGAGAGAACTCATTTAAAGTCAATTGAGAATCGTAAAGTAGAAATGTCCTCCACCGAAATTGGTTGAACAAACGACACGGAACAGCTCTCTTGATTAGTTGGAAGTTCTTAAACCAATAATTTCTTCTAATGTTCAGAGTTAAACGGTTGAATGCGGATGATTTGAGCGTAACTCCATTAAAAGTCGTTGAGACATTCACAGGGAGAGAAATGTTTCTTCGTGCCTTTATTGGATAGAGTTGTGATTAATGGCTTCGAAACTCATAATAATAATAACACTCATCACATCCAATTCAATTTTTCACACTGCGTGCCTCAAAAGCATGAAAATATTTGGTGATGGTGCCTGTTCCGTTTCCTTTTTGGTCACGATTACTTTTAAATGCCTCCTCCCTGACCAACTGGGATGAGATGCCGGACCCATTGTAATTCTGTGAACTTTTGCCCTTTTCTTCATTGCTTTCTTAGAATGCCTTATTGTTCCGAAGGAACTTAATTGTAGAATCTATTTACAGAACGGCATTCTCTAAAATTGAATTAAATTTCATTACCAAAAATTGTGCTCACTTTCTTAATCACCATTTTGACAAACAATTTGTTTACTGTGGGAATTATACAAAATTTATTTTGCTAACTCATCTTTCCAAATTCATATATGGTTAATTATTAATTATTATTTTTTAAGCAGAAATGACATGTCACCAGGTCTTTTACTCCCTCAAAGTGCAAGGCTTTTTTCTCTTTCTTACTTATATCGTAAACTTTATTTTACTTCTTCGGAAATGTAAACAATATCGAGAGACATATTAAATATCATCCGCTGTTGGTCAAATTGCTATCAGAGTTGTCCTCGTGTTGATTTTGCTTTTCGTTTAATTGCATCAATTGAAGGAAAAACACGGCGTTGTATTGTGCTGCATTGAATTCTCTCCAATCATTTGGTTGCTCTCTCGTAAAGTGTGAGAGAAAAATCCTCAAGTGTCAAATGTGGATGCTGTTAAGCACAGCAGCAGCTCTAGCAGATCACGTCGTCAAATTGGATAAAGTCGACTCATCATCCACTCATCCACACGATCAACCCTTTATCACACACAATTGTTTTTCTCGTAATGATAATAATGATGGCCTATATTAACGAAGGAGGAGAAATACATAAGTTGCTTTCACTGACTCCACAATACTTCACGTTTACTGACTTCGAATTCGGAAACTACAAATGCACTTGGAGGAAGAAAGCAGAGTTGAATGATCAGGGACGACATTCCTGTGGATGCATCCTCCCAGGTCCTGCCAAACATCGAAAGCAACTCCATGATTATAACTCCAGGAAGAGAAAGACCTCTAATAAAATGAGGTGAAATCTTGTCGTCTCCCAATCCCGATGATGATGACAAAGGCAAACCTCCACACCTCACAGAATTTATGAACATTTTGTTCTTGTCTCCTCTCCACGTCAAGTGGCATCATCGGAGGAGATGTGAAGGGCACACAATGACAACTTGTCCAAAAATACAGATTCGAAAATACTGACAGCAAAGCAGGGAGGGAAATGGATAATGGCAGCTTTCCTCCTCCTCCGCCGACTTTCACTCACTTACACAACACGCGTATCTATGTACATGTAACTGTTAGCAAATAATGGCTGAAAGATTTCACACATCAAGCACTTATGCACACACAAATCATCATCCACCCACGTCCGTGATTGTCATCATTCTTCTGGTACGAAACCCAAAGAGCCGTCACGTCTGTCTTCATCATCAACCTCATCCCTGTCTCATCTCGTCCTTATTATTATTGCTATACCAAAATCCTTGATATATAATGAGTGTTGGAAAAAGTGCTGAAATCTGCTGGAAATTATTATTATCGCTCGTTTTTGCTCTTCCTCACACCAGCCAAGTTCATCCAATTCTATCCTCATTAGTTTTCACGTAATGGGCAAAATAAAATCTCAAGTGTGGAAAAATGGGGAAAGTGATAAAAAAGCATCTCATTTCTATTTGCGTCGTCTTCATCCACTCGTTTGAGAGGAAAAATATTGAGCTGTTAAGGGCACAAAGGGTGAGATAATGCAGCGTAAATAAGGAAAAGTTTTTTTTAAAAAAACGGTGCAAATGGCCAGGCGTCGCTCATTATGTGACGATGAGAAAGAGAGAGCGAGAGGATGAAAGTCTGCGTTGTTGAAAGTGTGACATGACACCCGGGAGCTTAATTGCAATCTCCTTTATTATCATCATTCTCACTCCCTGCCATGTAATCATCCCATCATTATCACTTTCGAGAGGGCCAACCATGTGTACCACGCCGTAAATATGCGGTCTCCAGAATGTGCTATGCAGTATATCACTCTACAAATATTGAGCTTTGCTACCACCAAAACTAAATCACATCTTTCTTAAAGACTTGAGCACATTAGTATCCATCTCAAACCAGCTATCAATCCTGTTACATTTGAGACTGCGTACTTATTTGAGGTGCGTTATGCTCCTATCACCCGGTAAGTAGTGGGATGAGACACCGAAAATACATGTTTTGTGCTTTCTTCTTCACAAGCTAGCCAAGTGGATTGAAGGATCTCATTATTTGTATTTTTAAAGGAGAAAAATGCGAGTCTTTCAAAGTCGAAAGGAGCCGACCGAGGGATGGACGGACAGCATATAACTCCTTCACAATCCAACAGTGCTGCCTGATTATTACATTACTCTGCTCTTTTTAACACTTTTTATCCCATCCTCTAAAAAATTAACTGTTCAAGGGTGACGTAATTCGTATCCTTGTCAATCATTCGCCTGAGCCCTTTGGCCACTAATGAGATGAAAAATGTTGAGCATTTTACTTTGCGTTGTACACATTCTAGCAACAGTGGTGGCAAAATGAATGCCGTTGGGTGTATTCTGTTGTGTAAAAATTCCTCTGAAGTTGGCACACAGTTAATGCAGTCATTTAATTTTGACATGTCAAAGCTACACTCTATTCATCGTGACTTGCAAATTCGTGCTTTTCCTCTGAATTCAAACCCAAATAATTTGGTTCCTTAGTCATCCCTCCATTATTCCAGAAGTAAATTAAATGACATCTCCCCACTTACAAAATGAGTTAATGAAATTGTACTCCTAATCGTGTATACTTACGTATGTACTAAATATGCAATGCATATGTGTATGTACGTACTTATCCTTAGTAAGCATAGGGTGGCAAGCGTTCAATCTATACTTTGAAATCAATAACAAACGTCCATATGTACATACATTGCTTGGATGAATACCATACAAAAAATGCCTTTATAGCACGCACACTCACGCTTTGTGCTTTCTTGTCTTGTTTTTATATGTAACCAAACCAAATTATTTTAATGATCTGATCCGGTATTGTAAAAAGCTGTTTTGTGTAAACGCTGCATGTGGAATGGATAATGAGGTGTCGCACTTGCCACGTTGTGATGAACTACAGAATACAGATAAAAGGCTTTGTTTTGCCGTTTAATGATTGCCTATATTTGCTATAGTTGGGTTTTAATGACATGTCTGCATCAATGGTCATCAATGATTAAGACACATTCAACAAATTTGTTTACTGCTAAATTAATAGTTCCACATGTGATAAAATTGGGAAACAATCAATTCAATTTATTATTACCAACTAATTCTTATGACTATTTCATGAAAACATGACACATCGAAAGGCTAGGACTAGAAGATTCTTTGCAATTTAGTTGAATTTCAAATATTGCTTGTTGCATCAATGCATTTTCATTTTATTATTTTTATACTAATTTTTTTAGTAAAACAATAAATTCTTAAACAGATATACAGAAATCTGTAAATAACAAGGAGGTATAATTAATTATCATCTTAAATTTGTTAGACCTTTCAAAATCAAAATATTCGATTAGAACTAGAATTGAAGTTATAACATGATTCCACACAATGTATGTATGCAATCCGATGCTAAATTCACTTGTGTGGGTTGTAATATGAAAAAAACATGTCTGAATGTCCATAATTTGTTGCCTGAATTACATTGACATTGTTATTTTGTGTTTCATAAGATAAGTTGTCAAACCATTTGCATATTATTCCCCTGATTCTTATTTCCCTATGCAGAACTATATGTGTGCAAATATTCAATGGGAGTACAACAATGAAGAGTTGCATTAAAACAAATTGTTTTGCTCTCATGATTTGAGACCCTACCAATTAATTCTGATATCACATCCTTTTATTCCTCTGCATATCCACATCTTCATTGCAGATCCAAATATTGACTCAGCACTTTAAGTTGCTCAATTAGCTATTTATGACTTATTTTTATGGCAAATATTAAGACACGATGTTGTGCGTCAGTGGATGATACATACACGAGTGTAAATATGCATGCATGCATATGAGAGAGACGACTCTGTTTAAATTTGTGTCAATTGGCTTGTATGTATTTTGCAATGAGGCAGCCTCTCCATCATAAAACTGGTCATAAAACTTGGTCATCATACATACATAGATTCAGCTTTGTTTGTTAAAATTTATACTTGAAGTGAGTTAGTTATGTGCTGTGCGAATGGAGCTAAACTCACGAGAAACCCTAGTCTCAGCACAAGGTACTTCAGGAGGC